GACACATCTAATCATTTTACAGCTTCAGTTACCAATTAATTTGAAACATATGAAGTTGTAGAGTGGGTTTATATGTGAATGTATATGTGTGGGTGTGGGTGTAGTACCCCGTTCCTCCAGCATTAGGCGTTGAAGTGGTGTTTCCTGGTTTATCTCCGCTGATCCGCGCCCCTGCCCGAGGCTCCAGCGGCCTTCAGCACGAAATCCTTGTCACCGCTAACCTGGAGGAGACACACCACAGCAATAAATGTATGTATAGACACACATATGAACTATACATATATGTTGTTCATGCAAAAAATGACAAAAATCTAATTTACACCCCCCCTTAACCTCAAATGCATCCAGTTAACTAAGATAACTCTAATAGACTTGATTATGTACTTTATAGCACTGCATACACTCACTGTTATCTATGATAGTTAGTGTTCTCCTCCAAGCGTGTTGAGCTCCAGTGATGTTGCGTTAGCAGCAGTTTGAAAAGATGTGGTGAAGCTTCGCGTTTCTCAGAGGAAGCTCGTGCTGGCCTTCACCTTCTTAGTTTGCTAGCATCGTGTGATACAGGGAGACCTAACTAAAGGGCCAGACATGATCTTGTAACAAGAATACACAACTGGGGACATCTTGTTAAACTTTTGGCGCTGGCCGCTAATGAGGATACGCCGCCTCTAAACCTGCCCCAGTTTCCGCTACTGCATGCTGGAATACAGTTGATATTACAAACCAGTGAAGCTAGCTAACAAAATGCTATTTAAGATTAAGTGACCCTTTTCACCTTTGCATTTTGACCCATCCGTACAGTGAAACACCACATACACACTAGTGAACACACAAACACTAGGGGGCAGTGAGTACACTTGGCCGGGGCAGTGGGCAGCCCTATCCGCAGCGCCCTAGGGAGCAGTCAGGGGTTGGATGTTTTGCTCAAGGGCACTTCAGTCACGTACTGTCAGCTCAGGGGATCGAACCGGCGACCTTCCGGTCACAAGGCTGGTTCCCCAACCTCCAGCCAACGACTGCCCCGTTTTTATCCAACACAACTGATGTCTCTGAGGCAATGTGCTTTGCTGCATGTAATGCGCTCTCCAGAAACAAGTCTGCAGCTTAATTTTGAGTTTTTTGGACTTCAGCCATGCTAACTTATGTTATATCCATGGGATCATGTCAGGCTTGTTGCACCAGCACCCCTACTTTGAGCTCCAAGGCATCAGACTGGTTTTGAAATTTCCCACTCAGTTTTCACCCTAGTAAGTCTGCATTCCCCTCACATTTAGCACAAAAATTCTCATGACTGTGGTCAGACGTTCTTGTTACGAGGTCACATCTGGCCCCGCAAAACAAGGGACATAGCTAGGGAGTAGTGCCCAACTAAATTGGGGAGAAGACTGGGTAAAAGAAAAAAGAAGCATCTCATATGCTTCTCCAACATACACTATATGGACAAAAGTATTGGGACACACCTCTTAATCATTGAATTCAGATGTTTCATTCAGTCTCATTGGCACTGCAGCCAAGCAGTCCACATTTACACAAAGAATGGGTCATTCTAAAGAGCTCACTGAATTTGAGCGTGGTGCTGTAATAGGATGCCACCATTGCAACAAGTCAGGTCAAGAATTTTTTTCCCAGCTAGATATTCCACTGTGAGTCTATTATTGAAAAGTGGAAGTATTTAGGAACCACAGCAACTCAGACCACATAAAGTTACGGAGCGGGTCACCAGGAGAACGTTACCTGCCTGACTGCACTGTGCCAGCTGTAAAGTTTGGTGGAGGAGGGATGATGATATGGGGCTGTTTTTCAGGGGTTGATCTAGAACCCTTAGTTCCAGTGAAGGGAAATCTTAATGCCTCAGCAGAACAAGACATTTTGAACAGTTGTGCACTTCCAACTTTGTGTGAACAGTTTGGGGAAGAACCGTTTCTGTTCCAGCATGACTGAGCCCCAGTGCACAAAGCAGCTCCATAAAGGCCTGACTGGGTGAGTTTGGTGTGGAAGAACTTGACTGGCCCTCACAGAGCCCTGACCTCAACCCCATCCAACACCTTTGGGATGAACTAGATCCAGACCCTCTCGTCCAACATCAGTGTCTGACCTCACAAATGCTCTTCTGGATGAATGGACACAAATTCCCACAGACTCTCTCCAACATCTTGTAGAAGCTTCCCAGAAGAGTGGAAACTGTTAGAGCTGCAAAGGGGGACCAACTCCATATTAATGCCCATGTATTTAGAATGGGACTCATAAAAGCTCCTGTGGGTGTGATGTGTAGGTTTGTCCATATAGTGTATGATAAATCTATAAGCTACCTTTATTTGTAGCTACATTAGCCTCATAACTTCAGTGCTAAAACTAAAGAAGCAAACTTCAGACACCAAACGTGTCTCAGCTGATCGACTATGTTTGTTGATAGGAGACAGGGTTGCATTTTTGGTCTAACTATCGCTTTAATGTTGTGCTGTGTTAGATAAGAAGCAGCGAGCTGGAAGATCTCACTCTCGCAGCGCGCAGAGCGACGGCCGACACAGAGCCGGACTCAACGGCCACAGAATCTACATCGGCTACCCTACTGACCCCGACAGCAGGTACGTACACACAAACCACACTGCCCATCAGAGGTTTGAGGACACATGCTGATAATGGACAAAGAAAACATGATCAATTGGATTAAAGGAGTGCACATTTCTCAGGAGTGCCTACATGTGGCCACAGAATCTACACTGCTGAACCAAAATAATACACATTAATAGATCACATTATATAATCACATTAATAAATCTGATTTTCCACAGGTTCCACATTCACGGTGGACCCAAACCTCCCCCGCTGTAACACGCCGTGAAGTTTGGAGCTGTGATCTTTGTGGTTTTCATCCTGAACTTTGTGCATTTCTGTAAAAAAAATTGTAGAATATGTACAAATTTTTTTGTTACCACATTGAACATACAAATGTGTTCTTGTATTGTTTTTTATTTTATGCTGGATTACATATTTCTACAGAAAATATAATATATTGGAAATACATTACAGTATATTTCATTTATGTCTTCTATTATGTAACAATTAGCTCCGCCCACACAACCTGATTGTTTAAAAAACATTCTACCTGTGCTTTTATGTCTGATAAAACATTGTTTTACCATACCTGTATCATTCCACTGAACACCGGTTGCTAAGCAACAACAATGGCTGCTTTACTCCAAGCTGCTGGAACTACTTTTTTGGCATAAGGAATTGCCAGTATTAAAACGTGTATTTGAGCCAACGTTTGGGCTTTCTGTGCTTTATCGTTTATAAACGCAAAGTAAAATCATTGTACAAATGTGACAGAACGCTGGAGGTGATTTCTGACTGTGAATAAAATCACGGCTGGGATGATGTTTATCAGAACACACCACCTACAGTTTTCTTTTTCATGAATATAGTAATAAAATGTCCCTTTACTTTCCTATTCATGTATCTCCTCACAGTTTAAAGGGCCCATATCATGGAAAATCGCATTTTCCTTACAGCTGTAGTGATATAGAAACACTATTTTAGAAATATGTCTATGGAAAGTAAGCCTCAAAGACAGCCGGTTTTCAATTAACTGTTGTTGTGATGTCACAAAAACCAACACAGTTGCATATATTCACCTATTTAGCCTACAGACAATTAGCCCCACTCATTTACACGGAGGAGTGTTTCAGTCTAGAACGCTAGGCTGGAGTGCAGGGCAGCCAATCAGAACAGAGCTTATTTAAATATATCAATTTTAAAGGCACAGTAACTAAAACAGCCTGTGGTTGTTAAAAAATTAATTAGGACTGTTTTTGGTACATAAAACCACACACACGTTATAAGTGGATCTGAGGCGGGGGGGGGGGTACAAGTACAAGTACAAGGAAAATGTAGGATTTGGGCCCTTTAAACCTATATTCCAGTGTTTTCCTCTGGATTTCATGTGAATCTGTGAAGTTTAAAGGCAGTTTGACTCTTATATCTGGGATAAGGTCTGAAACACATGCGCCGGCCAACAGACTGACCCTTGTGCCAGTCCAGTTTGGCATAATCTGCCTCATCAGGTCAGTCTGGCCTTCAAAGCAATTCACATAATCCAGATTAAACACACCTCTGTCTGGATTACTGCCCTCACTCAGACACAACGAACAGACTCACTGGACCACTCTCTGCTGCCTTTCTCTCTCTTTATCGGTCTCTCTGTCTCTCTAATAATAACAATAATAATAATGATAATAATAATAATATTAATAATAATAATACTTCCACAAGAAAAAATACAAAGGATAATTTATAGGACACTCTTTAAAAACATGGTTCTTCAAGGGTTCTTTAGCTGTTCTATTCATACCATGGGTTCTGTGTTCTGTATGGAAACACTACATGCTTAAATGCTTCCTTGCAAAGTTGAAATTATTCTATAGATTAATGGAGAATGTGTTGCATGTGGTTCTATATAGAACCTTTTTGAAAAGGGTTCTATTTAGCACCAAAAAGGGTTCTTCTATTGCTTCAAGCTTTACATCATAACAATACCAGAACCCTTTTTGGTGCGATACAGAACCATATACAACACATTCTCCATCAATCTGAAGAATGATGCAGAACCATGCAGAGAAGCATTTAAGCATGCAAATGGTTATAATTAGAACTCATGGTTCTGAATACAACCGTTGCATTTACTAATTCAAGTTGAATGTTCTGAAGGTGCTTAAATACATTTAGTGAAGTCTGTATGGCTCCTGTGGTTGGTAGGTTGCAGTAGCGTACATTGGCCACCAGATGTCACTGTGGACGCTGTTAAATCTCAGCGTAAACTCTTCATCTTCACTGCATGGAAAAGGTTTTTGATTTTGTTGTAATACGAGCTTGTTTGCAACAACTTTCCAAATAATTTAACACATTAAACAGAAAGTTGTTTATAAAAGGCAATTTTTCTTAAAAAATTTCAAAGAAGTGTTGGAAGCCCTGCTTGGTCAATAAAAACCACCTTGTTTAAACCACCTTTGAACCAAAAAAGTGTCAATATGAGCTTTTAAGAATAGTTAATAAACTATTAACAATAACAACAGTTTTAAAAACTGTCAAATCGTTAATTAGGCAAAACCTGCTCCTCAATGAAGAGTCTTCATATTAAGGAAAACTCTTTGATGACCATGATGCCAAGTAGGCAAGCTGTCCACAAAGTTCAGAATATGAGTGGATCAGACACAGCAGTGCTGCTGGAGTTTTTAAACACCTCAGTGTCGCTGCTGCACTGAGAATAGTCCACCAACCAAAAATATCCAGCCAACAGCGTCCTGTGGGCAGCGTCCTGTGACCACTGATGAAGGACTAGAGGATGACCAACACAAACTGTGTAGCAGCAGATGAGCTATCGTCTCTGACTTTACATCTACAAGGTGGACTGACAAGGTAGGAGTGTCTAATAGAGTAGACACTGAGTGGACACAGTGTTTAAAAACTCCAGCAGCACTGCTGTGTCTGATCCACTCAGACCAGCACAACACACACTAACACACCACCACCACATCAGTGTTAGTGCTGAGAATGATCCACCACCCAAATTGTTCCTGCTCTGTGAGGGTCCATGGGGGTCCTGACCACTGAAGAACAGGGTAAAAGGGGGCTAACAAAGTATCAGAGAAACAGATGGACTACAGTCTGTAACTGTAGAACTACAAAGTGCACCTATATAGTAAGTGGAGCTGATAAAATGGACACTGAGCGTAGAAACAAAGAGGTGGTCAGAATGTTATGCCTGATCGGTGTATATATATATTATGAGTTTACCCCCCTTTTCTGCACTAACAGCTTCTACACTGGACGTTGGAACATGGCTGTGATGATTTGATTGCATTCAGAACCAGAACTGGGAATGACTTTAAGTGACTAGGTTTGTGAGACAGTGCTGCAATGCGCTCTAGTGTCCTGAGGGGGCGCTCTTCTATGGAGCTCTATGGGAAACATTAGCAATGGGCAGCTTCAGCGGAGGTGAAGATAAACATGCAAACATCTCACACGCCTCAAACTCGCCAAACCGAGAGGTGAGTCCGGCTTTAATACTCAATATTACTGAGACATAAAACAGCCAGGCAGCCGGTGTGTGCACAGTGTTTCAGGCTGGAGGCTGAGTTAGCGTCGCTGCTGGGCTAGCATCACTGTTTTTTCTCTGTTTTGAGTGTAAATATTGCGTTATTACTGCCCAGTCTAAGTCTGTAATTTCAGAAATGGTTATTTCGGCTCATTCTGGGCGACAATAGTGCGATTTTACAATCAGTTTTCCTTTTGTTGCTTTAGCCACAGTGCTAGCGGTTTTTAGGGAAGCTGGGGTTAGCTTCTTGTTCGAATTTGGCCGTTCCACCTTAAACGCTGCAGCAGTTACATTGTGGCGCCTCAGGCAGCGGAATACTACTGCTGCTCCATTTAAGGTGGAACGGGAAGTTCGAATAAGAAGCTGGCGAATAGGAAGCCAGATTGAACGTAGACGATAAATAAATAACTAAGCTGACCATTTATGCGTTAACTAGCCTATAAATAACGTTTCTGTTCGTTTAAATTCGCTGGTTTGTTTCTGTTTTTCTGTTTCTATGGTCGTAGCTGGCTGGTTAGCCTAGCAGCACGAGTTTCCCCACTGCACTGTAAACAGCAACAGCCCAGCTGCAGCTCCAGCCTCACTCTTTAGTTTTTCCTTATAATTTAATGTGTTTTTTGCGATCTGAAACTCATTTCTGATCCACTGTGAACCAGATGACACTTATCAGTAAGTTTTCTGTGTTTTTCCTCTCATCTTATGCTGTGTGTTTATGTGTGTGTCCCCTCATTTCATCTCTCATTTCATTTTAAATGTTGTGGTTGTCAGTAGGTGATATTGCACAACTACATACTTAAAAAGATGGTTCTTTAAAAGTTATTCAGTACACCATGGGTTCTGTTTAGAACCTTTTCCTGCTTCTTTTCCTGCTTGAAAGTTTCTTTGCCTGGTGAAATGGGTCTGCAGATTGATGGAGAATGTCTGAATAGAACCAAAAAGGTGCAAGCTTTACACCATAACAGTAGTAGAACCCTTTTGGTTCTATATGGAACCATACACAACACATTCTCCATCGATCTGAAGAACAATTTCGCCTTTTAGAATTCCGGGTTCTAAATAGAACCATTGCATTTACTAAATAACCATCTTTTTTACGTGAGGTTTATATGTTACAGGTTTAATGCACATTTTGAAAATATGTTTTTGAGGCTCGCCTGGACAGCAAAGAGGACAGACGCGTTCTTGGCTCAACGGTCTTTTTCATAACACAGCCAGCTTAAGGTTCCTGAGTAGGTTCCAGCTTCAAAAACCCAAAATGTAACCATGGTGAACTTGTTTGGTGATGACAGTTAACGGCGTCCTCTGTTAACCCAGGCTGTGATTAATCCTCATTAGGGCTGGGCGATTAAATAAAATTTTATTTTCAATTACAGTTTTGGCTTCCAACCATTATGAAAACAAGGTAACCGAGATGAAACGATCATTGAGCCGCATTCTGCCTTGCAATTATGCTCTTGTTTTGTCTTGTTGTGGTCGTCAGTCTTGTGTTATAAGTCTAACTTTCCTTTACAGCTGTTCTCCTCCCTAAAAGCCCAAACTCATCTTATTTATTTTGGTCTAATTTATTGTTATTTATTATTTTCATGCATGTTTAGTAGCTTTCAGTAGGTTGTGGAAGTGAACTGCAACATAGTTCATTTTATTTATTTTGTATTTGTATTTATATATTGTCTGTTATTTATTTATGTATGTTTTAGTTATTTATTTTCCTTTTTTTTACATTGTTTATCAGTTGAATTGCATATAAAGTTCAAGGAAATCCACTGTTAAAAATAGAAATAAATGCATGATGTTGTCAGCAAGTAATCGCATTAAATAATTGTGATCTCAATATTGCGATTATGATTTTTTCCTTTATTTTTAGCATTATTATTACTATTTAATAGAATTTTTATCTGTGTTTAGTGGTTTTCAGTAGGTTGTGGAAGTGCACTACAACGTAGTTGATCTTATTTATTTATTTATTATAATGTATATAGATTTAAATATTATAAATTATTTAATCAACTGTTAAAAACACATTTTTTTTTAAAGTTCAATAAATGCATGAAGTTGCCAAAGTCAACAAGTAATCGTGGTGCACTTTGTAGTTCTACAGTTACAGACTGTAGTCCATCTGTTTCTCTGATACTTTGTTAGCCCCCTTTTACCCTGTTCTTCAGTGGTCAGGACCCCCATGGACCCTCACAGAGCAGGTACTATTTGGGTGGTGGGTCATTCTCAGCACTGCAGTAACACTGATGTGGTGGTGGTGTGTTAGTGTGTGTTGTGCTGGTGTGAGTGGATCAGACACAGCAGTGCTGCTGGGGTTTTAAACACCTCAGTGTCGCTGCTGCACTGAGAATAGTCCACCAACCAAAAACATCCAGCCAACAGCGTCCTGTGACCACTGATGGAGGACTAGAGGATGACCAACACAAACTGTGCAGCAGCAGATGAGCTATCGTCTCTGACTTTACCTCTACAAGGTGGACTGACAAGGTAGGAGTGTCTAATAGAGTGGACAGTGAGTGGACACAGTGTTTAAAAACTCCAGCAGCACTGCTGTGTCTGATCCACTCAGACCAGCACAACACACACTAACACACCACCACCACATCAGTGTTACTGCAGTGCTGAGAATGAGCCACCACCCAAATAGTACCTGCTCTGTGAGGGTCCATGGTGGTCCTGACCACTGAAGAACATGGTAAAAGGGGGCTAACAAAGTATCAAAGAAACAGATGGACTACAGTCTGTAACTGTAGAACTACAGAGTGCACGTATATCGTGAAATTGTGTTGAAGTCTCGTGATGTAATGTTTTTGCTGTATTGCCCACCCCTACTGACGATATCCATGATACTCAAAAATTGTTACATAGTTCATCACGATAATAATAATAAAAATCGTCTTATTGCCCCAGAGGAGATCTTTGCCAGTGACTTTCTCCTTTTCTACTTCTTTTCCTTCAGTAAATGACTCTGCTCGTCTGTGAGAAAGGAAAGAAGACGCTGAAGATGCCGGCGGGTATTCAGGGAGGTTTGGGGAGATGACCGCCGTGCTGCGTCCATCATGGGCCCTGACGTCCCCCTGCTCAACGACTACAAGCAGGAGTTCTTCTGGAAGCGCTTCCCTCAGACCGTGCTGGGGGGGCCGAGGTTTAAGCTGGGCTACTGCGCCCCCCTATACGTCTACGTGCACCAGCTGGTGCTGTTCCTGACCCCGTGGCTGCTGGGGGGCGTGGGCACCCTGCTGTACCAGCTGAGGGTGCTGGACGATGCTCGCGCGGGCATCCTGTCCGGGGCGCTCATGCTGGGGGCCGGCGCCACCCTGCAGACGTTGGCCCAGTGTGCTGCACGGAGGACGGGGGCGGTCCAGAGGCTTCCGGCCGCCAATAACATCCTGGCGGACGAGGAGGAAGTGGAATTCACACATTGCGTCGCTCCGGAGACGGTGCGCTTCGTGGTGCCGGGGAAGAGGTTCATGGTTAACGTAGTTCTGCACACGGTGCTGGCCGGCCTGCTCTGTGGGTTGGGTACGTGGTACCTGCTGCCTGACAGGCTGAGCGTGGTCTATGGAGACACCGGGGCGGGGATGGGCGCGGTGGTGCCCGTGTTTGTGCTCAGCTGGGTGACGCTGTGCATTGCGGAATACTCTCTGATCATCAACACGGCGACGGAGACGGCCACGTTTCAGCCTCAGGACACCTACGAGATCACCCCCCTCACCAGGCCGCTCTACATCCTCGCCTTCATCGCTGTGGATTTGGCGCTGAGGTAGAACCGAATCCTTCTCACAACCTAAAGACTCAAACGCTTCAAATTTGTTTTTTAAGCATTATTATACAACAGTTAGTTCCGGCCACGCGAGCTGATTGGCTGAGAAGTGTTCTAACTGTGCTGTTATTTGGCCACAACATCACAAACGCTGTATCACTCCGCTGAGACGCCGTTGCTAAGCAACGACTCTGACGGCTGTAGGAGACGCTCAAGACATTTAAACGTTTTTACTTCTTACTTTGCCACAAACAGAAAATGGACACTTTTAAGATCACATTTGATTGACAGCCGATTTGGTCAGACTCTGAAGATGAGACGACACTAAATTCCCAAACTGTCATCACCACTGAGCAGCTTTTCAGTCGGCAGCTGAGACAGAAGAACAGCTAAACAACCTGGAATCAGCCAGAAATGAACCCAATACCATTCGCCAAACGTGTAGTCTGATCTTCAGAGTCTGACCAAATCAGACTGAGCCATAAATATCAATATCAAGTTCAGCTCAGTTTTGTCAGTTTTTGCCAGATCAGTATTAATGTTGTTTTGTTCCAGCCAGTCTGTAAAGCATCTTACAGCCCATTTAGTTTGGCGAATGGTGTTGGGTTCATTTCTGGCTGATTCCAGGTTGTTTAGCTGTTCTTCTGTCACAGCTGCCGACTGAAAAGCTGCTCAGTGGTGATGACAGTTTGGGAATTTAGTGTAAGGAGCTGGAGAACAAACTGCCGGCTGTGCAGCGAGTGGGCGGAGCTCGTTACTCTGACGTAGCAACAAGCTGCTCGTTAAGGAACTATAATTTGGTGAAGGAACTGCGAACATTAAAACATATTAAACGCCGCGTTCACGGCCCAGTTTATTCATTTATTACTTTATTTATTTAACTGTTGTTTTAAAGCAATAGAACACTCGAGGAGTGTGTTATCACCAATAACATCACGGCTGTGATGATCCACGGTGACCAAATCACAGCTGTGATGTTATTTCACAATAACACACTCCCTCTCATCTTCTGTTGCTTAAATAGCACCACACATATCTGGAAACAGGCCTGTGCATTCTTAAAAACATGGTTCTTCAAGGGTTCTTTAGTAAAGAAAATGGTTCTGTAAAGAACCATGAGCACTCAAAGAACCCTCTGCATGATTACGGGTTCAGTGCATCAGGAAAGGGTTCCTCAGAATGTGCTGTAGATGGTTCTGTACAGAACCTTATTGAAAAGCGTTCCATATAGCACCCAAAATATTTCTTCTGTCGTTACGATGCCAAGTTTGTAACAATAAAAGAACCCTTTTGAGTGCTATATAGAACCCTTTTTCAAATAGGTTCTATATAGAACCATCTATAGCCTGTTCTCCATCAATCTGAAGACTTTGAGTTTCTGCTGTTTAGTTGAGTTTAAGAAGTGTCCTCCGTCCTCTGTGCAGGTGTATGGGAGGGGGCGTGGCCGAGCTGCAGGTGGCCAGTCAGGTGCTGCACGTGCTGTTTGTGGTCCTGCCGCTGCTTTGGGCTCTGGGCATGCTCTCTCCTCTGGACGCCCTGCTGCTGTGGGCCATGGAGCAGATCCTGGTGCACGGACTCGGGGGGTCACCCATGGCCACCAACGTCAGGTACTCTGTCAATCATTTGAGATTGTCAGTCATCTGAATACCCAGAGCATCTGTTCTAGTATCAAAATATCCCACGCTTAAAGCAATAGTTTAACAAATATAGTTTAGGGGAATTCCACCGACTTTTCAAAATTTCTCCAAGACCTAATCAGAGTGGTTCAGAGTGGTTTGGTGTGAAACACTCCGTTCTAGATAAACTTACCGAGTCAGAATTGTTCACAGTGGTGGTGATAGGAACCAGACGTCCACCTCTAAAAGAAAGTTACTACATGAAATGGTTATGAATTCACTGCTTGATATCTGAGACACTGTTTTACGATAGTTTTGAGAAGATTTTGACCTAAAATGTATTTATTTTTAAAGCTGTTCATGGTGGAGATGTATGTGTAGGACATTTTGAGGCAAATAAATAGTTTTTTTCAGATTTTCCACAATTATAAAATCATCAACATTCCATTTAAACTCAGAAGACTCGTGTAGGTTCACTGGTGGTTTTGGACAGTAAGTAAAATGTCTATATTTGTGATGTAGTCATGGCGACCCCTGGTTCCTATCACCACCACTGTAAAGACATCTGAACCATTTCACACCAAACCACTCTGAATCTCTCTGTTTACATCTCACACACTCAGTTATGCAGACACTTTGAAAAACCTGTGGAATTATGTCTGAAGCTGCTTCTTTAGTTTTGCACTAGAGCCACAGTCATTAGGTATTTACAGTTATTTGCTTTTGTTCCAGTTCGGCTCCTCCCACTGTTTGCACATTGTTCAAATTATTAAACACAAACGTGTTTATTTATGTGTTTATTCTGTTTTAGGCTGGTGGTGATGTTCCTGACGTCTGTGTGTGTTGCCGTCTCCACGTTCTTCATCCCCTCTTCCCTTGGCGTGGTCCTCTTCACCGTCGCCATGGGTTACCTCCTCAGTCAGGACTTCACCCAGGTCATGGTGCTTTTTCGGGGCAGAAACCGCGACCCGCCCTCTCTCGGCCTGGGGTGGTTCGGCCTCCCTCTCACCGTGCTCCTCCTGGCTGGAGCCATGACTGAAGCTGGGCTGCTTCACCAGCTCTCCCCCAGCCCAGGTAACCAGGAGTCAGACAAGGGTTTTCCCTTCTGAATCACTCTGAACAGAAATTGGCTATCAGCTTCATACGAGTATCAATAATCTGTAATTTTAAGGGGAATTCTGCCAGTTTCTCAAAATCTCAGCATATTTCAATAATTGAGGTGTGAACAAAGTTATTTAGTTGTTGTTCAGTTGTTCTGTTGTGAAAAGACATAACTTAAATAACTTTAATGGTACTAAATACTTTGGACATCTGGTTCCTATCACAACCACTGTGAACAATTCTGACTCGCTAAGTTTCTCTAGAACGGAGCGTTAAATTATATCGGAAATTTAGAAAAATCAGTGGAATTCCCCTTTAAGTGTTTGGTTTTTGCCTTTTTGAATAGGTTTCTATACTATAGTCCATATATGAAGTGCATTTAGTGTAAAACAGGCTGAACTGAAAAGGGCAAAGTTCTGGCAGAGGTTAAGAAAAGTATAAATATAGTCAAAGAGGTTAAATACACCGTTAGTTAATTATGGTTAAATCTGTAAAAAATTCTTATATATGCATTCGATCATTCAGAATTTTTTTTTCTAATTGGTTGCCAGCTGGAGACGGGTGTGGAACACTGGAGTAACAATACAAATCAACTGGAAAAAAATAATGGCTTCGTTAACTGGTTAACCACATTTTCACTTTATTTTGAAGGTGATAAATGTTCTTTTTTGTTCACTGTACAGTGTCAAAACTAATTTAAATTAATCTTTTTAACTCCTTGGACCCAAAAATGCACTTTTTCATGTTCTTGACTTCATGACTTTCATATTTAATAAGCTTCATTCTAAAGGTGGGGGTCATATGAGAGCTGTAACTGTCTTCTGTCCAGTCAAATAGATGGTGATGTAATTTTAAACCGTTATAATAAAAGAAGCTGAACTCACAATTTTTTTTCCTACTGAAAGTCGACCCATTTTTCCACAAATCTGAGCTACAAACTCAGATGGCGTCTCTTCAGTGATCTGCTCTGTAAAAATTATTTTTATAAAAAAAATACGAAGAACATCTGAGATTTTTGGCTTTCAGCAGTAAATTGTAAGTATATAGCAATATGTTCATGATCATAAAATACATTTTCTGTTAATTTGTTAACCCAAAAATTTGCATGTATTTCATGCAGGCCTGAATTATTTGCCTTAAGATTTGGGCTTGTAAATTCAGATGGAAAAAACAAAATATACCCACGAGTATAAGAGGTTAAAATGACCTGGAATGAATACGGTTATTCACCTGTTAACCAAAAATAAAGTCACCCTGTAACAGTTACAGGTCATTTTGTTGCTGTTTTCGGTTACACTGTGTGGAAAATGTTCATTTTTAATTCCCTGTTAAATGTGTCTGATGGTCTGCAGGTAACCTCAGCTTTGGTTCTGGTCCAGTGGAGGTCTGGGGTTCAGCAGGTTCAGCTCCAGGCCCTCAGGCTGCGCTGGGGTGGCTCCTCATCGCTCTGCTGTTGGTCACGCATGTGCTGAGAGAGCTCCAGGGTGCCTGTGTTTGTGGGGGTTTGTTCCTGAACCCCCTGTACCCCCGGCAGGTCAGCAGCGTCCAGGCTTTCAGGAGGAGGAGTCGGGGTCTGCGGGTCGCTGGACTCGCCCGCAGAGCGCTGCTCAACCTGGGTGAGGAGATTGTGATACGATATTGTTTCTATAACCAATTAATCTGTTGACTTTACTTTGATTATTTGATTAATCTACCTATTCTGCGTTCTTCAGTTCCTCTCTTTGCTGCTGCCTGTTTGACAATCGATTTCTTTAATGGTTCAGTGAAACAATAGAAGCCATATCATAATCATAACAGAGCACTCTGTAAATGAAACAGTAGAAGCCATATCGCCCCCTACACTTCCTGTACTGTATTACAGTCTGTCAGAGTGACTGTGTGGATCATATGAACATTATAGAGGCTTTTTAAATGAAACAGTAGAAGCCGTATCGCCCCCTACACTTCCTGTAGTGTATTACAGTCTGTCAGAGTGACTGTGTGGATCATATGAACATTATAGAGGCTTTTTAAATAAAACAGTAGAAGCCATATCGCCCCCTACACTTCCTGTAGTGTATTACAGTCTGTCAGAGTGACTGTGTGGATCATATGAACATTATAGAGGCTTTAGTTTTTGAATAAATAGTTTATTTTTATTTTTTGACTTTATTTTATAATCAGTTGTATTAATGTACTGTGTAAACATTGCAGACATTGTTTAGTGCAGTGGTTCCTAGAACCGGTCCCATTTTTCTGCTCTCCAAGCCCATTTTAACTTGGGAAGATCTTGTTCATTGTCTGATTTGTTGAATCAGATTTGTTAGAGCGTCAGAATGTGCTGGGCAGGGATTCTCCAGGACCAGGATTTCGTTCTTTAGTATAAAACCACATGTAAAAACCTCACATCTGTTTGTTTTTGTCCTTTTTTCGTTCAGTCTGTCCGTTAGCCATGATTGCGTTCCTGGCCATGGATGCATCCTTGCAGAAGCTGCACACGGCCTCTTTGGCTATCGGCTTCACACGAGCCTTCAGAGTGGTAAGTCATCAATGAATCAGTATAGGAATGAATATATAAACAATGCAGTATCGATATAGTTTTGTTTCCCTTCACAGTGCTGCTTAGTGACTGACAGAAATCCTGTTTGTTTGTGAAGTGTGCAGAACATGATTATAGACTGTTTAGATGCAGCTGATGAGATCTTGTATGTGTGCTTTAGGTGTGGCAGAGCAGTGAGGATGCCCTGCTGCAGATGGTGGTGGTGGTGGTAGTGAGGCTGGCAGATGGAGATGGCACCGCACGTCACTGGCACGATCTGGGCACCGGAGTGCAGCTCATACTGGTGAGTTTGAATATCAGCTAAGAGACTAAATCACAGTGGTCAACGTTCTCTGCAACAAAGTCAAGTCAGGAGGCTTTTAGTGTTATTCCATCTATGTACACAGTGGAGCGGTATTATGTTCCACCAGGAACATGGAACAAAATAGACAGTGCAAAGTGCAAACGTGCAGACGTGAGTGTGCAAAGAAAATTAAACTAGAAACAACACAATAAATACGATAAATAAAACAGACATTAGACACAGTAAACAGACAGGACAGTGCAGCACCGACACAGCACTCAGTTCTGAGCATGAGGTAGTGAGAATAAGGTTCAAAGACATTTAACATGCTGTGATCTGCGAGTTACGCAGTCAGGTAACGTACGTGAGCACAGCAGATACTGAGGTACGATAAGACTATGGATGGTGACTGGTACTTGAGAAAACAAAGTGTAAACACAGTGTTAGCAGCAATGTTCCAGATAGTGCAAGTAGAGCATCAAAAGAGGAGCGTGAGTGTCGTGTATAGAAATCGTAGAAGGCTTACAGGCTCCACTGACCTTTTGTCATTAGGTAGGGGTGGGCAATATGATGATATTTTATCATTATTGTGTTAAATTCTGTCACAGTAAGGTGTTCAATCATATTGTGGACGTTGTCAGTACTTAAAGAACACAGACTAAGTACATGTTTCTTTACAAAGTGAGCACAATTAGGCCTGTTTAACTGGATTTAGGGCAGCACAGTTTGTAAAACATTGAATAAAACTAATTGTAGTTGCAGGTTATTCATTATAATTATTTTAGGATTATATATATGTAGGACTACAGGTTTTAATATGTCTGTTCCAACTTAGTAAAACTCAGAAGAATAAAATATCGTGACGCATATTCTGTATTGTGAAAATCTCTTGAAGTATCATGATATTTTTTTGCCTTATCGCCCACCCCTGTGTTAAAGTCAAAGTCAAACTGAAATCAAAACTCATAAATCAGTTTTTTATGTTGTTAATTTGTGTATTTTGTCATATTCAGCACGATTCATCGTATGATATCATTTCAAAGATTCCCTTTTTTCTGTAATCTTCCATCAAAGTATAATGACCTTAGCCCCGCCTCTTAAATGTGTTCTGATTTTTGATGACATCACTGTGCACCAGCAAGCGGAGAAAAATAATATTAACCAGTAATATCATATTTCACATTCTCCTCCATCCAGTCCCGCCCATCATAGAGAGAACACACTCTGCTAGCTCAGAGATAAAGAAATAACAAAGTAAAGTCATAAAGAATTGAATTCATTAAATAATTATTGTCACTGTGTAGCACAAAAATCATGTGATTTCATAAAAATCTCTCTCTCTCTCTCTCTCTCTCTCTCTCTCTCTCTCTCTCTCTCTCAGGTGTCTCTGGTTTCTGACCGTCTCTCTCAGTTTTTGGCGAAGCTGAAGTTTACTCTCACCGTCCTCATCACGTCGTGGACAGAGACGAAGCAGCGCCGCCAGTCTGCCGGTGCCCTGTTGGCACTGAACGGGGCGCTGTGCCCGCTGCTGCTGGCTGTGGTGCTGCTGTCCGCCCTGCTGGCAGCCCCCCTGCTGCCCCTCTTCACTCTGCCCATCTTTTTGGTGGGTTTCCCCCGGCCGCAGCGCTCGTGGCCCGAAACGCCTGGTACGGCCTGTCCGTGCCCTGATTCCGTCTACTACCAGCAGCTCAGCACCAGGCTAGCATCAGCGCTAAAACAAGCGTTTGCTAATGGAGTACTAGGTGAGCCACACACACACATATATATATATATATATATATATATATATATATATATATATATATATATATATATATATACACACACACACACACACACACACACACACACACACATTCAATAACACACATGTTTAAAAAAGATTACTGGGCCTGCTGTGACTGGTTGATGTGGTCAGCTGCATCACCGCTTGTTGAACGTTACTTTGTGTTTCCCAGGTTCTTGTTTTCCGGGTTCTCATTTCCTGTGCCGTTTCCAAGATCGTGTGGCCTGGGTCACTGTTCTGGAGAAAGGCTACGGCTACTGCACGGTCAACATTAAGGTACTGTAGTTCTGAGGGATGGGTGAGTTAAGGGTGGAGTTTTGGTCTCAGAAGTGGGAGAACACTGTGAATTTGGAGTTTATTTTCCTCATCTATAATAGCATCGTCTCATAGCTGTGTAACCGTGGAAAAGAGGGGAGTATAACTGTGGAAATAGCTGTAGACTGCAGGGATCGGCAACATGCGGCTCCACAACAGAATTAGATTGCTAGGTAAAAATAAAATAATCCTCCTTTACAGTAAAATAAAGCTCTGCTGATCGTTCAACACAGTTTAACAATAAATGGTCTTAAACTCTGGAGTTAATGTAGAACTGCTAATTCACCCTTTAACCCTGAAGATCAGCGCAGACTGCTGGTCACCATAGCAACACAGACAACAATCTTGCCTAGCTAGTAGCTAACGAAACGGCAAAGAGAAAGATTTAATACGAACATCGATAATTTGGAGACGATGGACTTATTTGCATTTATAATCACTCCAGCTGGTTTCCTGATACGTTTAATCTGCAACGAGAAACTGAAACACTAAAAAGTCACAAATCTCATCTTCTCAGCTTCTTATTCAGATGTTCCCGTTCCACCTTAAATGGTACAGCAGTTACATTCTGGCGTATCAGGCGTCATTTAAGATGGATCAGGAAAATTCAAACAAGAAGCTGGCGAATGAGAAGCGACTTCAGCCTCGTAAAAAGTCGAACATTGAGAGACATTTTACAAGAAATTGTTCTACGTTGGAGGAAAAGTTTCCTGCTGGAGATGCGAGAAAAGCAGCTATAGCTGAGCTAAAGCTTAAAGCAGAGCAAAGTAAGTCTGAGTTTTCGTTTATATTATATTTTAGCCTTTACTAGCACATACTCAGACATATTTACAGCCAAGATGGTAAAACTTTACTTCAATAAAATGGACTTAAAATGTTGTGGCTCCCAAAGTGGATTGATTATTGTTGAAAGGACAAAATGGCTCTTCTTAAAGTTTAGGCTGCCGACCCCGACCTAGTGTAACCATGCAAGTGGCCGTAGCATAACCATGGATCTGAAGGTAGCCTGTATGATCCATATATCAGTGAAGCAGTCATATTTCAGATGGATTTGTGTCAGTCTGTGCATGTTAGAATTCTGTTTTGTATTATTCGGATTATGAGAGCTGGAGTGTAGACCTGTGCTGTTTACAGATTTCGCCACAGTTCTAGATCACTTTGGTGGAAACTATTATGCCTGTGTCTGTTCTTTTACAGAACATTTGAGTTTAAATATTTGAAGATGAAATATTTAATACTTGCCATGCTGATGTTTTTTTATATATATGTCAGGGTTTAGAGCTGCAGGAGACGTCCTGTCACACGGTGGAGGCTCGGCGTGTGGACGAGGTGTTTGAGGGTGCATTTGACCGGCTGGAGCGTCCGGGCCGTTTCCTGCGCTTCCTGAACCCTCACTGGGAGAACTCCCTCAGGCCCTGCTCCGCCCTGCCCGTCCGGGTCTACTCCGATGCCCGGAACGTTCTGACTGGCATCATCGACTCACCCGACCACCTGCGCCAGCTCCGCTCCGACTTTCTGAAGACTCTGGTCTGGATGCTGCTGCGTCACTGCCTGCAGGACAAGGCTTACGCCGTCCGCAGGGTCAAAGGCCACTCGCTGCAGCTTTCTGGCCGCAAGTCTCAGAGCTCCCAGCACCCCGAGCCCGGTCCAGGTGATGTTAAAATGGCCATGGCGTCTCAGGGGCATCCAGACTCCTCCTCCTCGCCTAACCTGAGGGGGCGGGACAGCTCCAGCTTGTCCTCGTTTGCCGATTGGTCGGATGAGGACGACCTTTTCGGACCCGTTCCTGCGAGAAAGCCGGTTAGGATGATAATGGTGCGGACAGAAGAAGGTCAGACTGGCCTGGAGTCCGGCGTTTCTCTGCCTGGTTCTGCAGAAATACACAGTCTGTATGAGAACATGGCACTGGCTTCTTTGCCCACGCTGAGGCCGCTGGGATTGGGCCTTGGCATGGGATTCGGCTTGCCTGCAATGGACAAAGGCAGGGACCACCAAATCCCAACTGTGACCACCACCACCACCACCACGCCATCCATAGACCCCACCCAGCCTCTTAATTTCTCCTGCCCACACTCAGAAAGCCTTTCCCTGGCCACAGCCTGGAGGAACGCCCCCCTGCCCTCCTCCAGACTCCAGGCCCTTCGTCCCTGCTTCCCCGAGGACTGGTTTCACTTCTGCCTGTCCCGGTTCGTAATGGAGGGCTTCTGGGAAGGGGAACCTGAACAGGTGTGGAATACTTTGCAGTTGGCTTGGGTTTGGTGTTCTAATTTGTAAAGCATTATTTATTAAACATCGAAAATAATCCCCGTAGAGCCACATCACGAAAAGCCACAGTACAAATTTCAGAAAAAAAAGCTGCTGCTGTGTCACAGGGGTGGTCCCCTCGAGATGATTCCTTCTTCAGTACCTTTATTAAGGGTTCATAATTGTACCATATAATATTGAAATTATGTTGAAAGTTGTATTGACTCCACACATCCTGTCTGACTCCAGACTTTTCATTTTATTATTCTTTTAAAATACATTAGGTTATGAAAAGGTGCAAATACATATATATGCATTAGCTAACGTTACTGGCCCAGTCACAGTATGACTTATTTCAGCTGCTGATTAATTAAGTTGTAAACAAATACGAAAAACAATTTCATCTCTTTTTTGTTCATTATATGCAGCTATTAAACTACAAGTCTGAAGTGGCCAAATTGGCAGATTAGCCATCTTGCTTCCTAACTGCTCCCAACTGAGTATCATCAGTACTGATATGCCGTCTTTAATTACAACATGCGAATAAATGCCTGTTGATTGATCACCTTCGGATTAGGACCGAATGGTTCACCTACATTTTCAACAACGTATCAAGTTTAAAGAGAGTAAATTTATCCTAATAACCCAAATCTTGTGAACTGACTGTGGATGAGTACGATCAATCAGAACCAGTTTAACTCTCGTGCTGTGACATCACAACCACAGCTAACTGGCAGTCTGTCATACTGCGTCCAGTGTTCAGTCCTCAAGCCAGAGAAAGAGAACTTGTTCTCTGTTAAAGCGAAAGCTTTTCTTTGCACATCGTGGATTTCATCAGTACTTAAAGAACCCTGAACGACTACATGTTTCACTGAAAAGGGAGCATAATTAATGCTGTTTAATTGGATTGCTTTAATTGTAATTGTTTAATTGAATCGTTAAAATGTCTTCAAGAATCGTGTTAGTCTTTGTTCACGTTCTTGTTTTCTGTCTGGTTCCAGGTGTGCAGAGCTCTGCAGGAGGACCAGGTTCTGAGGGAGCTCTACAGCCAGGTGGCACTGTCGTGTTTGGTGGCGCTGGGCGCGGACGCTGCGGTGCCCAGCCCCAGCCTGCTGTTCAGGGTTTACTGCGGCGACGCCCCATGGCCCGACGGGCTCGACTGGCTCCGAGCAAATAAAGAGCTGCATCAGCTCACCCTCAGGGCTTTTAGGTAACCATAGCAACACCCAGCACATAATTTACAAGTTAATTCTCCAACAATGGAAAACAAGAACTACAAACCGTTGAAAGAACAAAGTTAACTTAAAATGAAAGCAGCTTTTTTATGGCTATTGTTCGCCCCCAACCAAAACAATAGTATGGCTGTATTAAAGATAAGGGGATGATATTTATAAATCTTCTGCATTCTTAATGAGCGTTACTGTTTAGGGGTGCTTTTAGGCCATTTTAACCATTTAATTAATGCAGATATTTTGGAAAATCTCTGTTAAACTGAAATTCAAGCCTGTCAATTAAAAACAGGAACATTCCTGCTTACGAAGAAATCCTGATTTGTAAAGAAGACTTTTTTTGAGGTAAACAACACTGTAATCCAAAGAACAGCAGATATTGTGACAATATCTAAAAATACAATAAAACTACACATTAATTGTATGGACAAAGTTTGTATGTGTAGCCATTATAACTGTTAATGGAGGTTTTATTTATTAAGTCTTGTTGTTTACTTTTGTTTTCACATTTTTTTAGTTATCATAAATATTTACATATATGATATTGCATTCCTCCGAGTAAACCTGATTGGGATTCATTATGTTACGTTACTGCAAACTGACCAAGAAAGCAGGCTATTTTCTGTCAGAGGGATTGTTGAGTCATACGGGCCTTCTTCAGCCATTTTTGTTCATTTCTTGTGCATAACAATAAAACGTAAACTTATTTTACAGTTTATTTTTCAACGGTTTTAGAGTTACTTCACCAGTTTGAGCTTCTGTAGTAATAAGCTGTGGCTGTTAATTTTGTGAGCGTACAGTATTTCTGACTGTGCGTGTGTCTGTGTAGGTACAGTGTAAAGCTGCTGATCGATCAGGCGTCTCTGGGTCCGGTGGAGAGTCTGGAGGAGCTCTACACGACTCTACAGGATTACCACGACAACTGGTTTATCGGCCTGACGACGGAGCGCGGCTGGCATGACGGCGTTCTTCAGGAGAAACCTTTCCTCTTCTCTCTCGGACAGGATCTCACCATGGTAACCGTTAAAGTTCAACTATGTTAACCTTAAGCCCATTTCACACCAGACACGGTAACCGCAGTGTATAGACTGCAGCGTATACACTGCAGGTCTATTTCACCGCATACCAGTAGTTTCCATGCAGAAACAGTGAAAGAAATGCAATGTCTATGCTATAATATATGATCGAGACTAATAAACACATCAACAAATCTAGTAGGTAAATGTTGTGAATACACAGCGTCTCCTCCTCTTCATATAGCGCTACATCACCTGGTGAGAAAGCCAGCAAGTCGTGGCAGCTAGTCCAGATTTTATTGTTGATCTCTTTATGTCATCTGCATAAAGTTTAAATGAGTAATAAACGGGCAGTACAGACGTTTATGTTATGGGAAAACGCAACACAAACAGCAGCCCCTCTTGCTTCGCAATGCATGGAGTGGTTCCAGATTAAAACGCACGCTGCGTCACGTCTGGTGTGTAAAATAGGCGTTATGCACTATGTAAGATTTTTTATGTTAAATCTGAAGGAAATGTCGTTACTGAGGGAGGAGAGTAACAACAGGTTAAAATACGGTGAGCGTGCGCTGCTGCGAGTCGCCTGTGAGGCCTGAAATAATCATTCAAAAGTCAGATGCGAGTTTTTCGCACCACGTCGTACGTCTTTACATATTAATGTCACACACAGACTCAAAACGAAGGTCTGTCTCGATGTTTAGGCCATTATACATTATACTGATGAATATATGATGACAATAGTAGATAATTCACTCACATCCTCAGAAGACGCGTCCTTCACCAAGTTGCCACCATTTAAGGTGGAGCAGGAAAATTCGAACAAGAAGCTGGTGAAGAAAAAAGCCAACTTCAGCCTCGTCCTCTTGTGAACCTAAATGTAAGATAACCTGTATGTTTTGGTGCTCAGCACTAGTAAATATTACTGAGTGACAGATTTTACATTTAGGAGATTGTTGTTCATTGTTTATTTAATAACTGCGCGTTTCACAGTGAAATAGTGTGTCTGCCGAAGCCGAAGTTGTCCATCTTTGTTTCATTGTCTCTGCAAGACGTCTGCTGAGGCCTTAGACTGAGTTCTCTTTCAACCATCTGCTTGGGGAAGAAGGTCGAATCACAACCCACACTACAAAATGTTCTTCCTCACGCTGCATGCAGTTACACATTTCCACTAGAGAAATCTTACATAGTGCAGCTTTATAGAAATAATTTAGCAAAAAATCTAATTACCACGGCAAATTAGACCCTTTTGTCTTCTCATTTCTCCTCTTTTCACTCTCATCCTGTTTTTCTTCTTTGTCTTTCTTCTCTTCCTCTCTCAATTTTCTTTTTTAATCTTCCATTGTCTTCTTTTTCTTTTTATCCCATTCTTTCTCATTTCTTGTTCTTTTTCCTCATTTTCTTCTTTCTTGTCTCCTTCTTTCTCTCTTGTTCTCATCCCAACTTCTCTCTCTCTCCCTCATTCTCTTTTTTGTTCTTCCTCCTTTTTTCTCTATTCTCCTTTCTTCCTCTCTCATTATTTTTCTTTGTGTCCTTCTCTCATGTTCTCTTTTCCAATCTACCTCGTTCTTTCATCCTCTTTTCTCCTTTATCTCCTCCTCCCCCCTCATTTCTCCCTCTCATCTGTCTTATGCTGTCCCTCTGTCTCTCTATGTCTCTCTCTCTCTCTCTCTCTCTCTCTCTCTGTCTCTCCCTGTGTGTGTGTGTGTAGGGTACGTATACAGGCCGGGTGCTGTCTCTGCAGGAGAACCTGGTGCAGGTTGGTGTTCTGAATGAGGAGTGTGTTCGTGGTCAGTGGGCGAATCTGTCCTGGGAGCTGCTCTACGCCACCAACGACGACGAGGAGCGCTACAGCATCCAGGCTCACCCTGTCATGCTGAGGAACCTCACGGTGCAGGCGGCAGACCCCCCTCTAGGATACCCCATCTACTCCTCCAAACCCCTCCACCTCGCCTGCTTATGATGAACACCTACCTGCAGACTCCGACACGCCTTCACCACTTCCACACCTTCTTCGCCTGCCACACCTGGCACACCTGCCGCGCCTGCCACACCTGCCTACGGTACACAAATAAACCCCCATACAGTATATACTGCCTGTCAAAAGTTTGGGGACCCCTGGCTTTTAGCAATGTTTTTAATAAAGATTAGCATGTTTTCTTCATCAGTTTGAAAGAATGTGGTATATTACAGACGAAGTATTTCACCAAAACACTCCATTACCAGCTATAAATGCTAAACACACATTCTGTGTTTTTTTTAGATGAATGCATACTTTATTTTCTTTTGAGTCACTTGTTTATTATGGTGTTGTTCTCCTCAAAATGAACCTGTGGGTGTTTCACAAAGCCGTACATAACGTAAAGGGGAAATCCACCTATTTTTCACATTTTCTTCATAACTCAGTGTGTGAGATGTAATCAGAGAGATTCAGAGTGGTTTGGTGTGAAATGGTTCAGATGTCTTTACAGTGGTGGTGATAGGAACCAGGGGTCGCCATGACTACAACACAAATATAGACATTTTATTTACTATCCAGAACCACCAGTGAACCTACACGAGTCTTCTGAGTTTATATGGAATGTTGATGATGGAAAATAGTGGAAATGTAATAAGTTTTCTTTGGGGACTATTTTGCATCACAGCGCCCTGCATGTATCCCTCCACCATGAAAGGCTTTTCTAAACACATTTTAAGTCAAAATCTTCTCAAAACTATTGTCAGTGTCTCAGTCAATCAGGCAGTGAATTCATAACCATTTCATGTAGTAACTTTCTGTGAGGGAGCTTTTAGAGGTGGACGTCTGGTTCCTATCACCATTACTCAATGAAATTTCAATCAAACCGCTCTGAGTGATCTTGGTTACATATTTTGGAAAATCATCCTTTAAGCCAAAATTCAAGCCTGTCGATTAAAAACAGAGGAACATGCTTACTAAGAAACACTTATTGGTTAAAAAAAAACTTCAGGTTTATTTTGAGGTAAACAACACTGATCAGTAGAACAGTAAATATTGTGACAACTATACATTAATTTTATGGACAAATAGTTTGTATGTTATGTAGCCATTATAACAGCTAAAGAGGTTTTATTTATTAACTCTTCGTTTCTTTTTTTGTTTTGTTTTCTTTTTAGTTATCATAAATATTTACATGTATGTTATTGCATTCCTCTAAATAAACCTGCTTAGGATTCAGTATGTAAAGTTACTGGAAACTGACCAAGAAAACAGGCTAATTTTTATTAAAGGGACTCTGACTAAGACATATAGGGCCCAATATGGTGTCCATGTCTAATACAATTCAAATATATTTTGAAACCAAGCAAAATACTTTATTTATTATTAAAAATAGACAAAATCCTTTTACTAGTAGGCTGTGCTCGCTCTCTCTCTCTCACCCACCGAGCGAGGAACAGTGAGCTAAACATCTAATTTAACTCTAACATATCATTAAGCCTTTCCAGCTTTAGCTAGAACGTGACACAAAGAGGAGAAAAACTTTTTTGATTCTCATTTTCTGTAGGACTGACTCCACTGCAACCATATGTCATCATCAAACAGAATGTTCCCATTTGGTTTATTTGCCATATTTTAATAGAATTGGACTTGTACACTGTTTTAAGACATACCCATCTTAACAGTCAAGGTTCCCTTTAAATACGTTTCTTTGTAAAGCTAGGTGTCCTCAAACTTTTGACATGCAGTGTTTGTCACTTAAGCCAGGCGGTCAATCGCTGCACCCTTAAATATTTGATCCAGTTCAGCCAGTAAAGCTCGGACTGTCGCGCTGGTGTGGCCTCGTCTGAAGGAAGAATGTGAATATTTATACGCGCTGGGACGAAAACGGAGGCCACATGGAGGAACATCAGAACCGTAACCCTGTAGCTCATCTACAGTCTGACGATGCTCTCCGTCTGCACTCCGTACGTTATGGCTACGATAAACTGAAAGAGATCTGTGGCTCTTTCACAGCTGACGGACCCGTCGTGGACGTCCTGGACGTCACGTCTTGATTGAAAACTCAAAGACTTTTTTATTACTGGAATTACTAAATAAATCTAAATGACACTCTGGTGCATTTTGTGAAGCATCTCCGTGGAAAAAAGCAGCTCATGACATTTCAGAATCACGATAAAACACTAAAGGCCTGGAGGAATTCTCTCTTTTTCCACTGTTCTTGTTTTGTTTTAAGCCCTTGAGGCTCATTGTGATCTGCCAGCCCTGATGTAGCTTCACCTTAGACAACCTGTGACACTTAGAGGGGAATTCCACCAACTTTTTTAAAATTTCTGTGTAGTTCAGTTGAGATATAAGCAGAGTCATTCTGATTGGTTGGTTTGATGTGAAATGATTCATTTGCAGATGAACTTACAGACTCAGATTTCTTTACAGTGGTGGTGATAGGAACCAGGAGTCCTGATGCCTACAATGCAAAATACCCATTTTATTTACTATCCAAAACGTATTGTTGATGATGGGGGAAAAAATAATGATCATTCTGAAAAATAATTTTCTATCTGGGGACTATTTTGCCTTAGAATACCCTTTATGTATCCTTCCACCATGAAAAGGATTGAAAGTTGATTAAAATATGTTTTTGACCGAAAACTTTATCAAAAAAACTATCATAAAACAGTGTCTCAGTCATCAGGCAGTGAATTCATATCCATTTCATGTAGTAACTTTCTGTGAGGGAGCTTTTAGAGGTGGACGTCTGGTTCCTATCACCACCACTGTGAACAGTTCAGACTCGGTAAGTTTCTCACCAAACCACTCTGAACGACTCTGCTTACATCTGAACCATTTAATTATGTTTTTTAAATACATAAAATAAATTTTAAATAAATTTTGAAAAATTGGTGGCGTTTTACCCCAGACAGTAATTTTTTCAGCACTTACAAAATAACAACAACCTGTTGACTCGAAACTGACTCATAATAGAAGCCAGTGGCTGCTAAATTCTGCAAAAAAAATATTTGAACGAATGTATTCGTTTACATGCACTTAATAATCCGATGGCTGCAGAAAATCAGATTTTGTCAGTAGTCTGATCAACACAATTATATGCACTTCGGTAATCAGATAATGGGGAAACTCCAGGTCTACATGAGTCAGACAGTAATCAGATTTCTGCTTTACAACCAGCCAATAAACTCACAGAAGAAGACAGAAAGAAGAAAGAAATCAGAGTAAGAGTTTACATCACTGAGAAATCTGATCACTGAGCCGAAATCCAGCCTCTTTATCAGATTTCTTAATCAGATTTCTAGACCTTACTTCAATCTAAGAAATCAGTGTGTTTGCACGACCATTTGAATAATCAGATAACTGCAGAAATCTGAGTAGGGCTGTGTAGGGCTGTGGGTTGCCCTCTTAAAGTAGGTGCTGTTGGGTAATTTAGATATTTATATAGTATAGAATTACAAATACACAGGCTTCTGAAAATGGACTGTGCAGACTGAGTTCTCTTACAGTAATAAGAAGGTGCTCTCAAGTCATTTTGGTACTTCTACACTTCAAACGCTACCAGCTTTGGCTTTTCAGCGTGGTTTCCTTTAGTGAAACAAGATTTTTTTTTGGTGGAAAACATCCTGAGCAAAAGTGGAAAATGTCTAGTTATGACAGCAACTTTAGTCCTGTGAGGATTTTTGGCACTTTTGGTCAGAAACGCAGCTCCACTCGCTCAGTGAAATCGCAGTGAAGCCGTATCAGGGCTGGCTGATATTTCTCTCATTTATTTCTCCCTTTTTGCTGTTTATACTCTGTCGTTCAAAAGTTTGGGATCACCATTCAAAAGTTTGGTATCAGTTTCAATCAAATAAATCTCCTTTGGTTGCAAATAAATATATACACCCATCAGGCATAACATCATGACCACCTCCTTGTTTCTACGCTCATTGTCCATTTTATCAGCTCCACTTACTATATAGGTGCACTTTGTAGTTCTACAGTTACAGACTGTAGTCCATCTGTTTCTCTGATACTTTGTTAGCCCCCTTTTACCCTGTTCTTCAGTGGTCAGGACCCCCATGGACCCTCACAGAGCAGGTACTATTTGGGTGGTGGATCATTCTCAGCACTGCAGTGACACTGACGTGGTGGTGGTGTGTTAGTGTGTGTTGTGCTGGTCTGAGTTGATCAGACACAGCAGTGCTGCTGGAGTTTTTAAACACCTCAGTGTCGCTGCTGGACTGAGAATAGTCCACCAACCAAAAATATCCAGCCAACAGCGTCCTGTGGGCAGCGTCCTCTGACCACTGATGCAGGACTAGAGGATGACCAACACAAACTGTGCAGCAGCAGATGAGCTATCGTCTCTGACTTTACATCTACAAGGTGGACCGACAAGGTAGGAGTGTCTAATAGAGTGGACAGTGAGTGGACACAGTGTTTAAAAACTCCAGCAGCACTGCTGTGTCTGATCCAAAATTAGTGATCGAACATGTAAGCAGATAATTTGACATAAAAACTGAACACACAGTACATTATTTTATCAGTTTATACTTGATAGAGAACTATATACTATTTCACAATGCTTGAAATGTCGATTAAAGCATCTGAAATGCGAATTGGTGCTTATTATAACATTTATATCTACACTGAATAACGTATTACTGAAAATACAACAGACGTCATTCACATGACAAGTGATTCCAAACTTTTGAATGGTGCTGTAGGTCATCGATTCTCTACCCAGTCCTTGGAGCTGACCAGCTGGTCCATGTTCTTGTCCTATCCCAGATCCCACCACACCTGAACCAGGTCAAGAACTCTAAATACCTGGGACAGGTTTACTGGGAGCCAGATTAGAGCTACACTGTGGACCCAGTGATGGGCTAAAAGGTCTGGGTAGAGCAAAGCTAGTAAAATTTACTTCAAATTAAAGTCTAAAATCAAAAAATTAAACGATTCCTCAATATTTTCAGTAAAAAGCATTTTCTAATATGTGCTGGATGGAGGTACCACTAGGATAGACTGACCAAATTAGTTTGAAGCTAATTTAAAGCTGTCCAGTAGAGCCTTTGGTGGTCATGGGGAAAAGATAAAGTACCAAAAGATTGTAAAACATCACCAGCAAACACTGACCATCCTCTTCTTCTGCTTACAACAGCTTTTTTAATGTGTGTGACTTGTTGGCCTTGAGTTATGTTGTAATGAATGTACTGTAACAAGCCAATCAATGCAGAACTGAATTCCTCATTTTGGCATTTTATGGTTATCAGACTGCGCCGGTGAACAAAAGGCTCCACCCACAGATGCTTTCTTTAGTAGCTGCTGTTGAGCTTGGATAAAATTTACAGAACGCTAGTTAAAAATCCCATTAACCTAATGAGACTCAGTTTATACCACAATACCTACATTTAGAGTCGGTTATTCATTCAGCCTAATGAGAAACTGTAGAACAGACTCGGTTTATATCACAATACCTACATTTAGAGTCGGTTATTCATTCAGCCTAATGAGAAACTGTAGAACAGACTCGGTTTATATCACAATACCTACATTTAGAGTCGGTTATTCATTCAGCCTAATGAGAAACTGTAGAACAGACTCGGTTTATATCACAATACCTACATTTAGAGTCGGTTATTCATTCAGCCTAATGAGAAACTGTAGAACAGACTCAGTTTATATCACAATACCTACATTTAGAGTCGGTTATTCATTCAGCCTAATGAGAAACTGTAGAACCCGACTTGCAGAATACAGGAGCGTTCTGTAAAACTTATCCAACTTCACAACAGTAGCTAGAACACATTTGTGGGCAGAGCCTAGAGGTGAGAAACATTCCTATTGCATAATCCTCACTTTTGGCTTATGTTCTCCAGCTAACTGAGAAATCCTAAGTAAGGAGTACCTTTGAATTACACTCTTAAAAAAGATGGTTCTTCAAAGGGTTCTTTAGTCGAGAAAATGGTTCTGTATAGAACCATGATCACTCAAAAAACTCTTTGCATGATAAAAGGGTTCTCTGCATGGTGAAATGGTTCTTCAGATTGATGGAGAATGTGCTGTACATGGTTCTACATAGAACCGTTTTGAAAAGGGTTCTTCTAGTGTTACAATGTGAAGCTTGGCACAGCAGAAGAACCCTTTTCAAAACGGTTCTATATAGAACCACACATCACGTACAGCACATTCTCCATCAATCTGACGAACACATTCATGATGCAAAGAACCCTTTTATCATGCAAAGGGTTCTTATATGGTTCTATATAGACCCTTGAAGAACCATCTTTTTAAGTGTGCAGAGCTTTTAACACTAAAATGACTTAAAAACCCTATAAATTCTTTCCTGTCCACTGTCCAGCGCTCCTGTTCAGACTGCAGTGCTTCCAGGATCCGACCTGTTAATCTATTCAGTCTGTTCTCATGTTAAGGTTCTCAACTGTACGTAGACGCGTGAGAAGAGTCGTCTCGTGTTAACGTGCATTTCAAGGACGTGCCTTGACTTTATTTTTTAAATGTTAGAGAACCTTTTTTTGACCGTTTACAGTTGAAGAGCCTGTACATGATCTTACAAGCCAACCTCCTCCTGTACATTCACTCTTTCTACCACACAGCTGTGTGTATACGAGCATGGCACTGTACGTATGAGAAATACAGGTTTTCAATACTCTTTTATTCCTCATCTGTTCTGTTCAGAGCTTCTCGAGTGTGTGGAACCATTAAAGGAGAACCTTTTTCATCCTCTGTTGATGCTGTTAACCATGAACAGTAACTTTGGTGCATTAAGTTACTATAAATGACTGAAAAGATCCTGATAATAGGAGACGGATGCTGAGGAAAGTTCCACTGTCTTCTATTATGTGTGTTTTTCTAGTAAACACACCAATTAAAATGCACCAAAATGACTCTCCATGTTAATCAACCACACACTACAGCTTCAACAGGTAGACATCAGGTTCAGGTATCAACCTCTGAAGTTGTGCTTCATAATAATAATAATAATAATAATAATATTAATAATAATAAATATAGAAGCAAGCGGCAATGAGCGGGTCCAAGCACGCTTTAGCCCAATCAGGCCTAGTAGGCAACCATGGTGAAAGGTACAGTGTACCAAACAAATTTAAGCCAAAATACCAGACAATGAGTGAAATTTCTGACATAACATGTTATTACAAAGTTATTCAGGTCAGCGAACTGAATCAAATGGCACCCCTTGTTTATCTGTCGACTTCGTAATAACACTGTAATAGCATTTTTAATGATTTTTAGTGTTTTTGAGTGTTAATGCACCCCCTATAGGCCAATCTGGACCAAATGTTGCAGACTGATGAGTTATAGCAAATGAAGCTAGCAATGCCATGGCCCCAGTGATGAATCGATAGAGCAACGTCACGTTGAGTTAAAAGGTGAACGTTTTTTAAATGATCATTTTACCTAAAGAGGCCAAAGGATATTTCTACACCTATTTTGAAAACTTTGGGTTAAAATCCAGAGACTAGTTTGAAAAGTATGGTTTTCAAACAGTTAACGATCACAAAAAAACCTGTGCATTTTTAAAATAAAATTGTAATTGCAAATTTGTTTATCACATGTGATTCATACAGATTTTGGGTCAAAATTATCGTAATTATCTATTAATAACAATGATTTTCATGACTAGCACCCCCCAGTGGCCAAATCTGTTCACTGGTTGCTACAAAGTGGCTAGATAAAGACACCATTGAAGTTTCATGATGATTGGTCAATATTAAGCCTGTAAAAAGCCTGCTGAATGCTGATTGGCTGATGGCAACCATAAATTTCAATGTATCAAATTGTCCTTAGAGATTCATTTATAGTCTGTCTACTAGATGCTGCATGCCACGTTTCAGCTTGATTGGATGTACGGATGACGTCGAGTTTTACTGAAGCTCTGAGTTAAAGAGCTGTGTTTTCAGATGTTTATTAAAAGTGAGCTCTGAGCTCGACTGGCTAATAAAAGCTGAACTGAGCTCCACAGTTTAGAAGCAGAATAACTGAACGAGTCTCTCCACGTTTTCTGTGTTTTACTGAAGGTGTTTGTAGGTCAGTATCTGCAGATCTGAGATCATAAACAGACACTCTGTGATGTAAGCGATGCTTTAAGGTCATTTAGAGCCTTAAAAACTCGTAGCAGAGCTTTAAAATCTATCCTGAACGATACAGGCAGTGCAGTTCATGCCCGTATTAGGAACCGGGGTGTGTAAACTCTATGGGAATAACGAATGGCGAAGCTGATACGTTTGTCCTGTATGCACTTTTTCCTCCCTGAGTGTCGCTGGATCCTCTGAAGTATGAGGTTGTTCAACGTTCAGAATATTAATAATGCTACACACAAGCAAGCCAACAATCCTGTGCACTGAAATGATGCCACATCAAAGTAAGTCTAGGATTAAACTTCAACACTGTTATATTCCAACACCTGCTACTCAGACTGCAGCCTGAAACTCCCAAACACCTCTAAACTACCACACCAGACAGAGCCTGCAGCTTTGGTGGGGTTTTCTGGTGAGTCTTATGACGTCAGTTCAGAGCACAGCAGTGTTCGCTCACATGTAGTTTGTTCTTCGTGGTGGAAAGGAACATTAATCCGAGTCTGTACAACAGTCTGATTGAAGGATGAATTAACATTAAAAACACAAAAAACACAACTGAAACACTAAGGCCCCGTCCCATTTCTTCTTTTTACCCCTACCCCTTGTTTTCGAGTGTTGCCCCTTGGAACTGAGTTCCAGGGTAGTGGTTGAAATCTTCCCTCTGAAATGGGACCCTCAAATAAAAAGAGCATCACTTCATTAACAGCTACCAGCGCTGCTCTGTAGGCGACCCTGCCAGTCTGCAGTGACAGCAGAGGAGGGTAAAGTTCAGCTCCTCACTGCTGGGCTTTAGTTACATTTAGGGCATCAAATGCCTTCAAAGAGGGGGGCAATTATTTATTATTACCCACCCCTAATTCTTCAGTGATATGAAGCTGAAGTCAGATATTCGCCAGATTCTTGTTCGAATTTTCCTGTTCCACCTTAAATGGAGCAGCAGTTCTGATATATGATGCGCCAGAATGGAACTGCTGGACTGTTTAAAGTGGAACGGGAAATTTAGCTAACCAGCTCCGGAGACATCAGTGTACAACTAGAGATTTTTTAATGCTTATTATGAATAAAACGACCATAATACACTGAAACAACATTAAACTAAGATAATCCAATAGTTATCATAATTTTTTAAGAGCAAATTCTCACATTTGTGTGTTTCTTTGGTCTCTTGTTCAGCCATCTTACTGGTTTTTCTTTTCCTCATAACTCTCTGTTTGGAGGGTCATGTAGCTCTAACACTTCGCCCTACCCCTCTATCTCAACAAGAAGCAGGACACCCTACACCTAGACGTGAACGCAAAAAACGGAGGAGTAGGGCTGAGTGGTAGGGGAGAGGGATGAAATGGGACAGGGCCTAAGTTACTACACTATACTAAAGATGTGCGCATGTGCAGGAGGACTCTGTAAAGTTTCTAATGTTTCTAATATGGGCAGGACACCAGCTACAGAGTCATGAATGATTGTTTTAAAAGGTCCTACTCAGTCGTCTAGTGTAGTGAAAGATTTTGTAAAAATCCATACAAAGATGGGATTTTATGCAACAAACTACATCTGATCTCAAGGTCAGCGAAGGCAGAGGTTTGGAGCTAAGAAGTACAACACGTTTGTAGCTTTCAGTCGAATTTTCATTTAATCTGTTAAATCACACATTGAAGTGTTTTTATTCAAACAAATCAGTTCAGCTTTACACAACCTACATACTGACCCACTGTTAGTCTTTATAAAAGCAAGCCAAGGTTACTATCAGTATAAAAACAGGCTAATGCCCTTATGATGCCCATTAGTAGTGATGTCTGTTTCTCAGGTGGTCTTGGCCTTCGGCTTGGTGAAGTACGCAGAATCTGCATCCTATAAACAAACAAAAAAACAAATTGGAGAAGTTTTACAAAAGAACTAATGTGGATGATTTTTAAAGAACGGTTTGGCAAAATATAAATCACTGTTATTATCAGAATGAAAGATCCAGCAGAGAGAAAACACTCATTAAAGACACAGCTCTGAAAAAATTATATATAAAAAAAAAAATCATATTTAAACGAGGGCTACAGGGCCAATGTAGCTAACAAGTAGTGGAAGCTTATGTAAACCAGTTAGCATGGTGCTAACTGCCTCGCCTCAAACCATGTGGAGTTGTTCAGTTGTTTAGTATCTGTAATAGACTTGATTATGTGGTTTCTGACACTTTATAACAGTGTTTTCTAGGGGCGGGACTTTCCACAACACAGGGTGATTAAAAAAGATTCACCCGATTTCAAAATGATTTATTTCACTTGTAAATCATTACAGATCAATGCAGTGAACTGTAAATGGTTTAAATGAGTATAAAGTTTATTATGTAATTGTTCAAGGTCTCAGTATGAACCTCCTCCAGCTGCAACATCAACACCATAGTCAAACTCATCCCATACTGGATTGAGCATGTCGGGTGTCGCTGCACTCACGGCTCTTTCAGTGCGATTTCGGAGATCATCCAGTGTTGTGGAACCAACGCCGAACGCTCTGAGCTGCTGGAGCTTCACTGCCCATGAAAATCACACTGCACAGTTATGACTGATTCACTCTTATTGAAGTGGAGAGCGCAGAACGCTTTCTGCTCAGGGGTCTCATCTCCTCTCAGACTGAAGGGAGCCATCTTCCACTGACAGCCAGAAACTCTATGACCCCCTCTTTCAGTTGGATTGTGATTGGTTCCTATAGGCACCTCACGGTTGTAAAAATATGGCGCTTTGAAATCGGATGAACCTTTCTGAATCACCCTGTACTATTGCAATATGATGCGATGCCATCAAGATTTTTAAAGATTTTTGATTAGTATTGTGACATGCTAATTATTCCTCCAAAAGAAAACATTAGTTAATGTAGTTTAATTGAGTTTAATGAAGTTTACACCTTATTTCACTGCAGCCTTTTTACTGAGGCAAAAAAGAACCGCAAAGTAGACAAATTAACATCAGGTCTACATTTATATATTTAGCAGATACTTTCATTTGTGAACATCTGAAACATTCTCAAATGATTCTCATTAGTCTGTTACTGTTATAGGGGTCTTTCTGATTCCTGCCTAAACAGGAAATGGAACCCTGTTCTCCCTTTAGCAGAGCGAGCATGTTAACCACCACACTACGAAGCTGTTTTATTAGATGTTTGATTTTTCCGTTCAGAAAGGTTGTGGCTCTCGTCTCCACCTCAGTGCAGCCAAACCATGCTGTTCGTATGGTGGCCAACAAAACTCTACTCACAGTTCAATCAAAACACTTTGCAAACTCGTAAACGTGCTGCAAACACAGGAAACACTTTCATCAACATGACAACACCTGAACTGCATTTCACAAATGCACTGCAAATAAAGAGAACAGGCAACTACAGAAACGCTGCAAAGCCGGTCACAACACAACTGAGGTGTCAAAGGGGACGGAATATCTATGATGGAAAATCACGGACACTCACCTCTCAAGTTCACGGCTAATCTGGCTGGCTAGTTTGCTATCTGACGTGTCGTAGCTGTGCTGTGGTCGTTAATCTGCTGTTACTCGTTAATCGTTTATAGTTACTCTCTACAGCTGACTCCCATTACCATACAGTGACAGTCATAATCTGCTCAAATAAAAGGTAACTAACTTTTACCGGTGAATGTTTGTGTTGCTGAATGTCTCCGTCCTCCGGAAACGTCTCCGCTTTGTTGTGACTGGATTATCAGCGTTTCTGCAGTTGCATGTGTTCCTGTATTTGCAGCGTGTTTATTCACTAAATTTCCTTCAGGATCAATAAAGTATCTCTCTATGAAATGCAGTTCAGTTTTTGCCATTTTGATGAAAGTGTTTTCTGTGTTTGCAGCTTGTTTCTTATTTCCAGTTTGCTGGGTCTTCTTGGCCTCCAGATGTTTGGGTTTGTTTGTGTTTTAAGAGGAATATGAGGAAAATCAGTCACATGACAGTAAAATGTGTTCTTTTCTCAAAAAAAATTGTTTGTTTGCATGTTTCCAGTGTAGGTTTTCACAACATTCAGGTACCGATCAACAAATTTTCTGCTAAAGTTGAACTGAAAAAAGTTCATTGATAAAATACTGCGTTAGCATACACTCTTAAAAAAGATGGTGCTTCAAGGGTTCTTTGGTAAAGACAGTGGTTCTATATAAAACCATGAACATGTAAAAGAACCCTTTGCATCATTAAATGGTTCTTCAGATTGATGGAGAATGTGCTGTAGATGGTTCTATATAGAACCTTTTTAAAAAGGGTTCTATATAGCACCCAAAAGGGTTCTCCTATTGTTACTGTGTCAACACTTTTGGGATACTATAAAGATTTTCAAAGAGGTTCTGTATAGAACTGTCTATAGCACATTCATGCACATTTTCCATCAATCCGAAGAACCTTTCAATCATGTAAAGGGTTCTTTGAGTGCTCATGGTTCTATATAGAACCATTTTCTTTACCAAACAACCCTTGAAGCACCATCTTTTTAAGAGTGTAGCCTAAATCAACAAACATTTTTAAGCGTTAAAGTGTTTCGCCCAAAAAATCCTTCGAACGGAAACGTGACTGTGTAGATCTGATTTCTTGCCGAATTGTCGTTTGGTGTTGGTAGAAACATGCTGCAGGTTCTCACCAGACCAGCTTTGAAGTTCTGGACGCGCTTCCTGCCCAGCTTGTTGGTCAAGTACCAGGCGAGGGTGGGCATGTACTGCCACACGTAGACGAACAGCAGAAACGGCTGGTGGCAGATCCACATCTCCTTCACCCGATTGGCCAGTCCGGCCATCATGAGCTGGACGCAGCGCTCAGTGGACATCTTGTGTGTCTGGTCACCAGCACTGGACAATGACTGTATGGAGAGAGACAGAAAAGAACACGGGTCAGTGCAGGTGCTTTCTTTGGTTTTGGTTCTTTTGGTTTTTCAGACTTGATTATGCAGCTTCTGACACTGTAAGACTCACTGGCTGTGTTTACAAATCTGATTGAATACATTCTGATTACAGATTAAGACTGAGGTGTTTATATTCACTCTACTCAACAACCTGATGGAAAGTTACATGCACACTACAAGAACTCCGATCCAAAATTACACGCATATGTAGAGAAACACTTAGTGTAGACGTTACCATGACAACCAGCATCACGTGAGTCCGGTCAGACTGAGATGAGCAGCAGTGAGCAGTGCTTGTGTTTTTAATTGCTTTAAAATGATGTCAGACTCAGGAAAACGTCCTTCACATGTCCTTATTAAAGAAGGCCGAGAGGAAGACGTCGTGTTCTGAGACACATAAGCTGGACGTCCGTCCCACCGCCGTCTTTTAAAGATCAGAGCATAAACTTCGTCTCCTCTGCAGACCAGTTTCTGCTCCGCCATGTCGAAACTTTCACTATGACGTGACGAACATGATCAGAACGGACTTAAACTTTCCGATAGGGAATGTAATCAGATACAGGCGTTTACACGGATATTATTCTCCTATTTGACTGATTATTTACAGGATTACCCACCTCGATCAGTCGGATAGTAATTGTATTCCGAATGGCCTCAATCCGACTAGTCTATTCAGACTGAGGTGTAAACATGGACGTATTCTACTCTGATTGAGCTATTAGTCGGATTATTAAGGATTATCAGGCTGCATGTAAACGCAGTTACTGTTATCTATAAACATGGCCTAAAATACATTAGCATAGCTGAAGACAGTAGCAGCAGTCATACTAAAACATGAATTTTGCCTGTTATTTTTTATTTAGCTGCAGTGCAAAACTAAGGAAGCAAACTTCAGATTACGGACATGTCTTGGCTGATTGACTATGTTTGGTACGTTCTAATAAGGGGGCGGGAGAACTGTCGCTTTAAGAGCCCAAGGCTCTGACCGATTAGGACGTCTGTAATGAGTTATTTTTGTGTTTCTCTGCTGAATGGCCTGTGTGCTGGTACGTTACCTTTTCTACGTGCTCAGTGAAGGCGTTCTGCACGATCTGGGAGACGACGGGTCCCGGGCAGATCATACTGATGGTTATTCCGGGGGAATCGGTCAGTTCCGGCCGTAAAGAGTTAAAGAAGCCCTTGAAGAGAGACACAGTTTACTTCACCAACAGGCAAAAGTTTCATCCACTGAGTTAAACTACATTAGCAATTGAGGACACCCTGTGTTATAGGAGGTCCACCACCCTAATAATATGGACAACAGCAGTCCTGTGGTCAGAAACTGGCCAATGATGAATGGAGGGCTGATAAACTAAACCTGAAACAGATGGACTATGGTTATAATTATATACCTACATAGTGGAGCTATAATGCAGCTGTTTCTAATAAAGTGGCCAGTGAGTGGAAGCACAAGGTAGGTGTTTCTAATAAAGTGGCCAGTCAGTGGAAGCACAAGGTAGGTGTTTCTAATAAAACGGCCGGTGAGTGGAAGCACAAGGTGGGTGTTTTTAATACAGTGGCCAGTAAGTAGAAGCACAAAGTAGGTGTTTCTAATAAAGCGGCCAGTGAGTGGAAGCACAAGGCGGGTGTTTCTAATAAAGTGGCCAGTAAATAGAAGCACAAAGTAGGTGTTTCTAATAAAGCAGCCAGTGAATGAAAGTACAAGGTGGGTGTTTCTAATAAAGCGGCCAGTGAATGAAAGTACAAGGTGGGTGTTTCTAATAAAGCGGCCAGTGAATGAAAGTACAAGGCGGGTGTTTCTAATAAAGCGGCCAGTGAATGAAAGTACAAGGCGGGTGTTTCTAATAAAGCGGCCAGTGAATGAAAGTACAAGGTGGGTGTTTCTAATAAAGCGGCCAGTGAATGAAAGTACAAGGTGGGTGTTTCTAATAAAGTGGCCAGTGAATGAAAGTACAAGGTGGGTGTTTCTACTAAAGCAGCCAGTGAGTGGTGAATGTATGTGTCTATATTCTGTGAATCTCTAACCTGCAGTGCATATTTGCTGGCTGAGTATCCAGTGGCCAGCGGAGCTCCAGCCAGCCCAGCGAGGCTGCTGACGGTTGCAATGATACCGCTGCCCTGGCGGATCATGTGGGGCAGCACCTGCTTGGTGATGGACACGGTGCCGAGGTAGTTGAGTTCCATCAGGCTCTGGTACACCTCCACATCCGTATCCACAAACAGACCACGCTGACTACGGCCGCTGTTATTAACCAACACATCTATCTGCAGACGCACATTTAAAGTGGCATCAGGATGCTGAATGGAAAAACACTGCTGATTAAGATGCTCAACAATTGAAAGATTTCTCTAATAATTACAACTTAACAATTTTTTGCACAAAGCAGGATCAGGATGTTCAGACTGAGCATCAATAACAGTGCACTGTTCATTTGTGACCTTACTGAACTGCAGGACGGAGATATGGACCTGCTTTATGAATTTCAAACCAGAAAGAAACTCACATTGCCGAAGTGGCGCAAAGCAGCCTTGGTTTTCTCCTGGTGTGACGCCCAGTCCAGCAGATCGACCGGAAGAACAAGAACATCCTTATCTTCTAGAGTGGAGCGCTCTGATAGCAAAGAAAAGAGAAGGGGTGAACAACGTATACAATCTGGATAGAAAAGCACTGACCAATAGATTGGGACGCTCTGGAGCAGCCACACATGAGCCTAAGGTCTCCATGCCCATGAATGGGCTGTGGAGCAGTGGAGCTGTGTTCTCTGGAGTGATGGAGCTCCATCCAATACCTTTGGGATGAGTTGGAGTGATCCAGAACTGACCATTCAACATCAGTACCTGACCTCACTAATGCTCAATCAAATCCTCACAGCAATGTTCAACATCTAGTGAAAGCCTTCCCTGAAAAGTAGAGGCTGTTACTGCAGCACAGATGGACAAACTCACTAATAAATTAAATCTTGCTGTAAATGTATGTTTAGCTCCACCCACACAGTCTGATTGGTTGCTAAGCAGCACCCATGGTTACTTTACTATAAGCTGCTGGGACTACTTTTTGTGACGGAAGAAATGTCAATATTAAAAACAGCATTTAGGGGCTTCTTTGCTTTATTTTTACTTAGTTTACTCTGTAAAACTGCTGTTTAGAAGCAGGAGAACTCGACTACGGTGGATCAACTGATTTATTAATGACTTCTGACTCGTAGCTCATTGAAACAAGTGGAGAAATGAAGTGGAAAGTGCAGATTATAGAATTTCAATGCACACCACATATTTGTTTGTAAGTAGGAGATTTTATTATGATTTGAATTTGATAAAAAAAAAAAAGTTGTAGCTTTTGTTTTGTGACTATATAATTAACCTCTTAAAATCCAGGCTTATTACATACTAAGGCTTATTATTCAGTAACTACAGGGACTTCAGTGCAAACTGGTTGAGCTATTCTTAGATTATAGAAGTGCGTAATGAAACTTTGGGCTCTGGCCTTTTAAGGGGTTAACAAACATTCACGCCTCACTCCATACAGTCCATACATGGAAAATAAGCTGCAAATATATATATATATATATATATATATATATATATATGCGCATGTTCTATAAATGATATTTTGGTTCTGGTTGTCTGCCCTGTATTGTAAAGCTGGGTGATTAATCAAATTTTATCATATGTTATGAAAACAAGATAATCATGATAAAATGATTATTGTGCTGCATTCTGTTTCACAATGATGCTCATTTTGTCTTGTGTTATGAATCCAGAGCTCCCCTTTCCTTTAGAGGGGTGTGCTTCTGCCCCTCCCTAAAAGCCCAAGCTTATCTCATTTATTTTGGTCTAATTTATTGTTATTTATTGGTTTTTATACATGTTTAGTAGTTTTTAGTATGTTGTAGAATTGCATAACATAGTGGATCTTATTTATTTTGAACTTGTTTATTTATATTTATTATGTTTATATTACTTATTTATTTGTATACACATTTATATATTTTATTTTTTAACCTTTTTTGTTTTTCAGTTGAATTATTATTTAAATTTTCAGTGAGTAATCCTGTTAAATAATCGTGATTTCAATACTGACCATTATTATGACTATGATTTTTGCCATAATCGAGCAGCCGTACTGAATCATCCTTCACTCAAAATTAATGAGTCACTTAATTTGCATATATGGACTTTGCTGACTTTTGAAACTATAACATTGTTTACATATTAAAAAAAAGCAGGACAATTCAGTTTTCCATGGTATGGGCCCTTTAAAGGCACAGGAACAAAGGCAGGTGTTTGTTTCTGAGGGATAAAGAAAATAAATGAATACTAATATTTTGTAAAACATTAATATTGTATTACAGTCTGTGTACCTAAACAGTTTTGCTTGACTCTCTCCAGCTCCGCCTCTCTGCGTGCTGACAGTACTAGTCGAGCTCCGGCGGCAGCGAGCTGATACGCCAGCTCCTCCCCAATTCCGCTCGACGCTCCGGTGATCCACACCACCTTCCCTCGCAGAGCCACATCTACAAACAGAGCAGAGCGAACACAGCACAGTTAAAACCTCAGGGAGCCCAAATGCACACCTGCCTGTACACGCACAACACGGCTGTATGCAAATGTTTTGGCACCCCTGGTCAAATGACATGTTGTACTTGATTTTCTGAGTTTAAATAAGTGAACTCATCATCTACAGAGAGACACTTCTGCACATTTTAATACACAATTACTGTTTATTTACTGAATTTAACATAATAGAATCAATATAACATAAAACATATCTTGTGCAAAAGTTATGGCACAGGTTCTATTTTATGTTTTTTTTTTCAATATGATAAATTCAGCAACTAAATAGAAACTGTGTATTAAAATGTGCAGAAAAACCACCACATTTATGTTTGTTCTATGTAAAGGTGTTAATAAACAGAAACTGATCAACATGAGCTGTGAATTGAGTCTTCTCATTTACTTAAAAACTGACTCAAGTTACTCAACTTCCCCAACACACCCATTTAACATGCCTGAGACACCGAGTCAACTTTTACTCAGTGGAACAAAGTGCACTCCAAGTGTGCGAATGCAGAAATAAAGGTTTTGCAAGACATTGCATAACATTACAGATTCAACATGCTGCTCGATGGAATAACATAAACATATTATCTCTTTTACTTGTACTCCCGTTAAACTAACGTCCTGACAGAATGTCCCTTATGTCTTTTATGTTGTCTAACACTGTCCTGCCATTGTAAGTGTCCATATGTTATTGAAACATGTTATAAAAAATATTATCTATTATTATTATTATTCTCAGGCTACTCTATACAGGCTTTCTCTGAATACTATTTGTATGAAAATAAAAGCAACATATTCCACTGTTATTGCAGTTTAAAGGGGAACTTCCATTGATTTTTCAAAATTTCTGCATAACTAAATGGTTAAGATGTAATCAGAGCGGTTCAGAGTGGTTTGGTGTGAAACGCTCTGTTCTAGAGAAACTTACCGAGTCACAATTGTTCACAGTGGTGGCGATAGGAACCAGACGTCCACCCTCTAAAAGCTCCCTCACAGAAAGTTACTACAGGAAATGGTTATAAATTCACTGCCTGATGACTGAGACACCGTTTTACTGTAGTTTTGTGATAAAGTTTTGGACTAAATCGCACTTTAATCAATTTATGTTAATCCATTCATGGTGGAGGGATACATGAAAGGTGTTCTAAGGCAAAATAGGCTCACTGATTGTTTTGGATAGCTAATAAAATGGCTCTATTTGGGTTGTCGTCATGGCGACCCCTGGTTCCTATCACCACCACTGTAAAGACATCTGAACGATTTCACACCAAACCACTCTGACTTATGCAGAAATTTTGAAAAATCGGTGGAGTTCCCCTTTAAGACTAAGCCTAATCCATATCTGGGACACTTATTTCTGACACAGTGAACTTCAGCAGAGATACATTAGAAGTCTGTGTTAATTCCACACATCGGCCTTTCCTGTGGAGGTGCAGCTGGGGGTCTTTACCTGGTTTAGTGCCGTATGTTTTCGCCCACAGGAGTGTCAAATCACAATCAGCCCGAATAAAAAGCCCCAACAGCACCAACACACACACTACAGCGGCCCAGAACAGCACGCAGCACGCGCTCTCTTCCATCAGCCTCTACACACACAGAGATAATCAATAATCAATAAAATACAGAAACTCAGAGAAGCTGCGTTAGTCCTTCAGCTCAGTCGGCCAGCGTCCACAACCGCGAGCCAAACGCAACACAAACGAGCTCAACTTTAACACGTGACCCACACAACTCCCGCCTGACAAAGTAAAAGCCTTGCGAAATAAAAGTTCTTTATTGACCAAAATCTGAAGTCTATTTATCTTTGTTGACCATCAAAAAAAAGATCAAAAGCACCATTGTTACACAAACAGGACCAATCAGTATTGTTTATTATTATTATTATTATTATTATTATTATTATTATTATTGTTGTTGTTGTTGTTGTTGTTGTGGTTATTATTGCGTTATTATTACAGTTTTTACAATATATGTCAGTTATGTAAGTGCTATTGATTATTTCCTAGCAAATTATTATTATACTTGATTTTTTTAAATATATATAATGCATAATATTCATATTTTCTGATAATAATAACAATACATTTTCAATAACATTAGCTTTAGCATAATTATCATTAAAAAATAGCAAGAAGAATGGGGGAAACATTTGTGCTGTAATGGATGGGTATGATGTCATTGTGCATAGTGCAGTGCTGAATGGGGTGATGTAGCACTCTGCTGAATGGCGTCATTGTGCACAGCACTCTGCTGGAAGGGAGGATGTCTCGGAGCTGTACTGAATTAGGGCATGACGTCATAGCACACTATGCTGCACGGTACGGGAGGATGTCAAGCTCTTCACTCAACTGGGGATGACTTCACTGTGCGCAGGGCTGTGCTGAGTGGCATGATGTCACAGTGCTGTACTAAATAGGCATGATGTCATTGTTCACAGCACTGCACTGCTATGAATGGAACAACGAGGGGTGTGACGTCACTGCGCTGCACTGCACTGGATGATGTCATAGAACAGTGTTTACCTTAACAATGGGCTCTTAATGAACTGATTAGTTGGATCAAGTGTGCTGGGAGAAGTGCAGGGCAGTGGACCTTCCTTACTGAACCTCACCGAATGGGATGATGTCACTGAACGTCACAGAATTGGATGACATCATAGAACATCACCAAATGGGACAGCGTCATAGAACATCACAGAATGGGATGATATCACAGAGCATCACATGATGGGATGATGTCATAGAACGTCATCGAATGGGATGATGTCACAGGACATCACCTAATGGGATGATGTCACCGAGCATGACTTAATTGGATGATGTCATAGAACATCACAGAATGGGATGATGTCACAGAACATTTTCAAATGGGATTATGTCATAGAACGTGAGTGAATGGGATAATGTCACAAATCATCACCTAATGGGATGATGTCATGGAACATCGCCTAACGGGATGACGTCATAGAACACCGCTGAATGGGGGGATGTCACAGGGCAGCACCAAATGGAATGATGTCATAGAACATTACCGAGTTACGTTGCAGTGAGTGGCTGGCGCCGCAGTGAGAGGGGCTCGCCGATGACGTCATAGCGCTAGAACCCAAGTGGAGGGTGACGACATCGCTTCCAGTGCGCAAAAAAAGGCCCCGAATGTACATCCGGGTCCTGGCGCTGCTGTTGTCGAGGGGTTGTTTGGTTGGTTTGGGGGGGGCAGAAACAGCCGCGGCCGGGGGCTTTATTTCAGATTCTTTTTAACATACATCCAGCTCGCCTAATAAACTGCAGGATGCGTGCCTGGGTTAAGAGCGGGGTTGTCCGCTGTTTGACACACTGAACACTGAACACACAGTTCAGGTTCTCCCTCCACAAACAAGCCCCGTGTGTGCTAGCGCCCCGTTTCTCTCTCTCTCTCTCTCTCTCTCTGCTTTTCCTCTCAGTCTCTCTCTCTCTCTGTGTTTTGGGATTTCAGGTAAGTGTCCTTCTTTCGCCCTTGTTTACCGATGAAATGCTCGACGCTTTGAGCCTTTTTGCGGCTCTGTGTGTTTGTTTTTGTGTGACCCAGGCTGGAGGAGGGAGGCCTGACCCGGGCTAATAGCATTAGCCATTTGTTTACACGGATTTAACCCGTTAGCGTTAGCTCCGCTCGCTCCTAACGCGATTCTGGAGATGTATTCGGGACCCTCTTCGTCTGGACTTTGTTATTCTGGTACGATTTTACCCCAAAAAAGGGTCTAAATGTGCGGCGGAGTCCGCGTTTGACAGCTATCCAGCTTAGAAAGAGCGCTGAAAACAGCTAGCGGCTATGCTATGCTATGGTAAACTACGCTAAGTTTTCCAATTTCCACGTTCCACCTTAACTGCTGCAGCAGTTACTGTACGGAGCCTGAGGCGCCAGAACGCAACTGCTGCACCATTTAAGGTGGAACGGGAAATTCGAACAAGAAGCTGGCGAATTTCAGCTTCGTGTTTTTTTTTAAATGCTGTTTTTCTTAACAAAGTCTGAACGGAGGTGATATTTGCTGGCTATTTCTCATCATTTGACACTGTAGTTTTAAATCCAACTATGTGCTTGAAGCAAACAACGAAATAAATAACGTCAAATAAAAATAAATAAGCTAAGCTAAGCTAGCTTTGCAGCATTACGTAATGCTGCTCGTTTCAGCTGGAGGAGGAAAATAAAGATAAACAGAGGCAAACTTGCAGTCTTCGTTATCCTTTTTTTACGTTTTGTCGGTCATCTTTGTCATTTTTATTCTATATATCTGCTTAAATTAAGAAACGAAGCTACACTGTCTGTCATTCTGGGCAGCCTGAGGCTAAGCCATAGATAACTATACAATATTTGCATAATCAGTTCGGTGCAAAAGCTCCTGGAAAGCACTGCAGAGATATTTTTCTCGACCGGATCACTTTGTACAGGCTGTGTTCGCTCGGTTTGGGTTTTGTAGACTGATTTGTGTGTAATTCTAGGCATTAGTGCGGAGGAGTGTAAGCAGTGTGTTGCAGAGATAATCTTACTGCCATACAAGGATGGCAAACCAGCTGTCTCAGTCAGAGAGGGGGTATTTCTATCAAACGGTTGGTTACATAATTGGTTATTTCATTTTCTTGCCCGATAGGCCTTCTGGTAAGGGGAAGGATTTATGCCAAATCAAAAAAAGCAATCACTACAGTGGAAAAACGTGAAATTTATTGTGCACATGACACTACTTTTTTATAAGTGACATGCAAAATATGTGACAAAGTGTGAGACAAACCCGCTATTAACACCGTTTTCAGTTCGCTTGACCTCTTTACCAAAAAAAATGCATGAAGATATGTTGCTTTCCACTGTGCAGTACTTAAAACGGATTCGCTTCATTGAAATTCAGCCAAAACGCTGAAATACAGTGCACGGCTGACACTACTTTTCCGTGGGTGACATGTGAAATAAGTGCTGAAATGAAAAGCAAAACCCCCACTGCACTGTTTTTCCTCTTTGAAATGCAACCATAACAGTAACAGTGAAATACAAGGCATATATGACGTTACTTTTCCATATGTGAAATGAGGAGTACGTACCAAATGGAAAGCAAAACCTCTATTACAATGTTGTCACGTTTGACTTGACCATTTCCAACTTCCTTCAGACCGTGCCTTTAAGACTGACATAAAAGCAGGGCAGGCTAAAACACTCCTTATAGACCACTATAGTCGTGTGTCATTCTGTAGTCGTCGTTATGCCCATATTAGGAACTCTGGGTCTGAGCCCCATTTCTCTATGGCCAGAATGAATAGGCAAAGAATCACCTCTGTCGCCCCCTGTGTTAAATAAAAATGTTCAGAGCCCGATACGTTCTGTCCTGTGTACATTGTTCTCCCGAACATCACTGGATCCTCTGGTCATTAAAGAGCTATAATACTAATATTGCTACATGCGAGCTAAAGCTACGGCGCATCAATTTGATACACAAAACTAAGCTACACTAAACTAAGGCGGGCTGTGCCGCTGCTCTGACGAGCTGTGCTGCCTTATCGAAATGTTCTACTGTAGCGCTTAATTACAGGTATACCTGTAAATAAAACCTCTAGGTGGGATATTCTGATAGACTAACACTCCTTATCAAAAATACTCCCCGTGTTAAACTACGAGGCTGAATTTCGCTTCTTTTTCACAGCTTCTTGTTTGAATGTTCCCGTTCCACCTTAAATGGTGCAGCAGCTGTGACTAGCTATCACAAACATTAGCAAACGAGTCAAAACACTGACCTGTCAGTTCTGAGAAACAGCAAAAATAAGTTAATGTCACTCAGCTGTTCAGCGGAAATAGAGAAACCTCCTCATATCAGGCCTTTCAGCCCTCCATGAAGCTGAACTCAGCTTCTTTTTTGCTGCTGCTTGTTTGAATTTTCCCGTTCCACCTTAAATGGCACAGCAGTTCAGAACGTGACTGCTGCACCACTTAAGGTGGAACGGGAAAAGTTGAACAAAAAGCTGCCGAATGTCCTGAGAAAATGTCCTCAGACCAGCATTAAAATAATAATTAGGATATTCTGAGAGCCGAAATCAGTTTATCAGGGGATGATAACCTGATTAAGGAGGCTGCCAGTCTAATGATGTGAATTCAGTGGGCAGTAGTTTCAGCTCACATGCAGCAATATTCATATTTCAACTCTTTAACGACCTCGTAATTCAGAGGATCCAGTGGTGTTCGAGAGAAGAATGTTCACAGGACAGAACGTATCGGGCTCTGAACATGTTTATTCAACACAGGGGGCGCTAGAGGCGGTTTTTCTTGCCATAGAAAAAATGGAGCTCAGGCCTGGAGTTCCTAATATGGGCATAAGAGCACGGCGGTCTATAACTTTAGTGTGAGTGGGTAAAGCTAAACTGCTGTAGGCTGAATGTGCTGTTTTTTATGATATCGCAAAAAAGAGAATGAATTCAAAATGCACTATTTCCAGATATCAGGGGTGTCCAATCTTAACCTGCAGCCGCGCCGAACCTCTGAGGACTTCGTTCCAAACAGGCAGGAGCTCACAGGATCACACTTGTTTTATCAGTTAGTCTCAGTCTTCAGCAGCAGATCACGTGAGCTCCTGTCCTAGTTGGAATGAAAACTCGCAGATAAGACTGGACACCCTGCCATATGTATTACTGAATGGACTGGAGTGATAATGGTACATTTCGAAACTTGGACAGTGTTAATGTGGGGCTGGGCGATACGACATTGTATATTGTGATAAAATGTGTCACAATAAAACACAATGTGCTTTTCTGAACCTGTCTTGTATATCGTCAGTACTTGTAGACACTCACCAACTGCATGTTTCATTATAAAGAGAGCAAAATTTGCTCTCAAACCAAAATCATTGTATTCACAATTTTTGCTAGTATACACCAATCAGGCATAACATTATGACCTTGTTTCTACGCTCACTGTCCATTTTATCAGCTCCACTTACTATATAGGTGCACTTTGTAGTTCTACAGTTACAGACTGTAGTCCATCTGTTTCTCTGATACTTTGTTAGCCCCCTTTTACCCTGTTCTTCAGTGGTCAGGACCCCCATGGACCCTCACAGAGCAGGTACTATTTGGGTGGTGGATCATTCTCAGCACTGCAGTAACACTGACGTGGTGGTGGTGTGTTAGTGTGTGTTGCGCTGGTCTGAGTGGATCAGACATAGCAGTGCTGCTGGAGTTTTTAAACACTGTGTCCACTCACTGTCCACTCCATTAGACACTCCTAACTTGTCGGTCCACCATGTAGATGTAAAGTCAGAGACGATAGCTCATCTGCTGCTGCACAGTTTGTGTTGGTCATCCTCAAGTCCTTCAGCAGTACGCTGTTGCCCACAGGACACTGTTGGCTGGATGTTTTTGGTTGGTGGACGATTCTCAGTCCAGCAGTGACACTGAGGTGTTTAAAAACTCCAGCAGCACTGCTGTGTCTGATCCACTCAGACCAGCGCAACACACACTAACACACCACCACCATGTCAGTGTTACTGCAGTGCTGAGAATGATCCACCACCCAAATAGTACCTGCTCTGTGAGGGTCCATGGGGGTCCTGACCACTGAAGAACAGGGTAAAAGGGGGCTAACAAAGTATCAGAGAAACAGATGGACTACAGTCTGTAACTGTAGAACTACAAAGTGCACCTATATAGTAAGTGGAGCTGATAAAATGGACAATGAGTCGTAGAAACAAGGAGGTGGTCATAATGTTATGCCTGATTGGTGTATTTCAAAATGTAGCGCTATAGAAGTCTGAAAATGTAAATATTCTGACATATCGTGTGTCGTAATATTATATTTTTCCCACCTCTATGTTTACGTAGTACATTAAACCCTTTCATTTCAGAAAAAGTGAGAGACAAATTGGGTTTTCCTTAATATGCGCCCTTAAAGTGTTGTTTACTCGACTTACCAAAAACACAAAATTCTACAAATTCTGCAAATAAAGTTGTTTTCTGATTCTGATTCTGTTTAGTGATGAAAACATCTTGTTTCGTTTTTTAATAGGCTGCGTTTACTGTTTGTCATTCAAAATGTTATTCAGTTCAGAGTATTACATTTCTAAAGCTGTTATTGTTTTCCATCATATTTTTTGTTTGCATTTATTGTTACTACTGTCCTTTCTAGCTCTGCTCTCCTCTGTTAGTTTTTTCTCTATGTCTAATAAAATGTATTATTATTATTATTATTATTATTATTAATTAGGTATGTAAATTACACACAGCAGTGAACTATAATACAGCTTTCTTTTTGCTTGTTTTTACATTTAAAAATAGCCCGATTAAATTTATCCTGCATCAAAAATGAATGCTTGCTTTATTGAGTATTACTGTAATTAATTCTAGCATTGCAAAAAACAGTGCAGTTGAATTGCTGCCTTTAGACAGATGCGTAATTAAACATTTTCTTATACCTCTAGTCTTAATTTGCCAACTTGAAACCTTCCTTAATTCAAATTTTGCATTGAATATTTTTCTAACAAATCATAATTAATGTGAAGTGAGGTCAGAGACTGAAGAGTGCGTTCCACTGAATTTCAAAGTTCCTTCGTAACTCAGTGTTTGAGATGTAAACAGAGAGATTCATAGTGGTTTGGTGTGAAATGGCTCCGATGTCTTTACAGTGGTGGTGATAGGAACCAGGGGTCGCCATGACTACAACACAAATATAGACATTTTATTTACTATCCAGAACCACCAGTGAACCTACACGAGTCTTCTGAGTTTATATGGAATGTTGATGATGAAAATAGTGGAAAATCTGAAATAATTCAGATAAATAAGTTTTTTAATAATAATAACTATTTTGCCTCACAATGCCCTCCACCATTAACAGATATGAAAAACTATGTTTAAGACCAAAATCGTATCTTTTATGTGTATCCCTGAGATCCAAGAACAAGACAATTGGGATCAATTTGTTAAAGTTTGTAATGTTGTAAAATTTTATTAAAATTATGTAATGAAGCACCAAAATAGCTGAAACTGAAACGAAAGTTCAAGAAACACCTGTACAAAAACTAAAAAGAATAATTTTGATTTATGCAATTGAATAAATGTACTAAACAAACCACAAAGTGATAATGAAAATACTTTTTCAATATTGATAATTTCAGCTTTCAAAAGTGTGAAGCTGAGCTGACTGAAATGAGAATATTTTACATTAACTTGTTCAAATTATAGAATTTGACACTTTGTTTTGTTCCTCATTTGTCTTTCATTTGTTTGGCCTTTTATCATTTTTTGGTGCCATTTTTGACCATTTTGGCTTATTATTATTATTAACAATAAGTAGCAAAATAATACTGTCTACCTGACACGATCCTGAATCTATAAAGTTGACTTGTTTTTTTTCTTCTGAAACCTGTTCCAGACTCTTAGTCCGCCAGGATGGGTGCATTTCTGGACAAGCCAAAGATGGAGAAGCACAACGCCCACGGTGAGGGCAACGGGCTGCATTTCGGCCTGAGCAGCATGCAGGGCTGGCGGGTGGAGATGGAGGACGCCCACACGGCTGTCATTGGCCTTCCACATGGCCTGGAGCGGTGGTCCTTTTTCGCCGTTTACGACGGCCACGCAGGGTCGCAGGTGGCACGCTACTGCTGTGAACATCTGCTGGAGCACATCACCAGCAACCCCGACTTCAGGGGCGGCGGCGGAGGGGGCGACGGTGGCACAGACGAAGAGCCGTGCGTGGAGAGCGTGAAGTCGGGCATCCGCACGGGCTTCCTGCAGATCGACGACCACATGCGGCAGATTTCTGAGAAGAAGCACGGCGGCACGGACCGGAGCGGCTCCACGGCGGTCGGCGTGATGGTCTCGCCGCGCCACGTCTACTTCATCAACTGCGGAGACTCGCGTGGCCTGCTGAGCCGCGGGGGCGCCGTCCACTTCTTCACGCAAGACCACAAGCCCAGCAACCCGCTGGAGAAGGAGCGCATCCAGAACGCAGGAGGGTCCGTCATGATCCAGCGCGTGAACGGCTCCCTGGCCGTCTCCAGGGCTCTGGGGGACTTTGACTACAAATGCGTTCACGGTAAAGGTCCCACGGAGCAGCTGGTGTCGCCCGAGCCCGAGGTGTACGCCATCGAGCGCTCGGACACGGAGGATGAGTTCATCGTGCTGGCCTGCGACGGGATCTGGGACGTGATGGCCAACGAGGAGCTCTGCGATTTCGTCCGCTCGCGACTTGAGGTGACCGACGACCTGGAAAGGGTCTGCAACGAAATCGTGGATACCTGCCTGTACAAGGTGAGGCGGGAGGGGGGGAGCTGCGCACTAGGGCTTCACGTTACACTGTTACAAATAAAGGTTCTGTGCAGGTACTTCTTTTCAATTATTTATTATTGCCCACTGCTAATTCTTTGGTGATGTGAAAGTGAAGTCAGATATTCTCCAGCTTCTTGTTTGAATTTTCCCGTGCCACCTTAAATGGTGCAGCAGTTACATTCTAACGCTTCAGGCGTCAGAACTGCTGGACTATTTAAGGTGGAACGGGAAAGTTAGCTAGCTAGCTAGAGACATTAGCATGATATTAGAGATTTTTTTTTATGCTTGTTATGAAGAAAACGACCATAATACACTGAAACGACATTAAACTGAAAACACAATTATTTTTGTCATTTTTAACAGAGAAAATTTGTGGGTTTCTTTGGTCTCTTGTGCTCCATTTTGCCGGTTTTTCTTTTTTTCTCATAACTCTCTGTTTGGAGTTTCTGAAAAACCTCAGTTTGGTGGGTCATGTAGCCCCAACACTTCTCCCTACCCCTCTGTCTCAATGAAAATTGGGACACCCTACCCCTAGACGTGAACGCCGCAAAACAGAGGGCTAAGGGCTCAGTGGTTTGGCGAGGGGTGAAACAGGATTGGGCCTAAATGTTTGAGGTCTCAGCAGTGCGAAATTATGATGAATGTGGAGCTGGATTGACGTAAAAGTCGCATGAATTACGATCTGGCTGTTCAGACCGAGTCGCATTGACGCACATCAGATCGGATTTCAGTACCACGTATGAAAGCGTCTCAAATCAGGATTAAAAATGTCAAGTTCAGTGTGATTTTACATCTGTGTCACATATGAAGAAAAATATCAGATTTCCGCCACTTTTACCTGCTGTGTGAACACAGCCTAAGTTAGTCTAAGACATGCTCTGTTAAACTCTTAAAGTCCGTCTAAATTAGTAATAATTATGTGTTCTGAGTTTGTCACGCCACAGAAAGATGTTATTAACCCCCCCAGCCGAATTTAAATGATTAAAAAAATTGCCAATTGTATTAAATTAGGTTTCAAAATCATGAAAATCGCTAAAACATACGCAGTATTTTCTGCTCTGAAGTGCTGGGGGCAAAGCCTCTCTTGGGGGCAAAAGAGAGGGGGGCAAAGCGTCTGTCATGTCTGTTTCCTAGCAACCGACCCCACACACAGTTCAAACGTAAACACACAATCAAAATAATTCTGTTAGCCAGACGGCTGCTGTAACTGTTTAAAAGTCAAACCAAACTAAAGAATAATAAACCTGAAGTTAAGAATACTGTGAGAGCGCCCCCTGCTGTTTATCAGAGAGTCACCATTCCTCAGTTTCAGTCTCCATTTCCCCAAACGCTTTAGCCGAGCGCGCTAACGTTACTCCTCCTAATAAACAGACACACGTTCAGCTCCGTCTCCTCATTATTCACCACCATCACTGTAATATTTCATCATCAACATTAACACACGAAGGTGATCAGAGGGGCGGTGGAGATCGAGTCTGCAGCGTCTGAGATCTTTAAAACGCAGAGTTAGAAAAGAAAATCATCTCACAGTGAAAGCAGCGTTTTACAGTAGAGATAAATGGAGCTCATTATGCTGGTAGTGAACTATGCTGCTGACACAGCTGCGTAAAAACCATAGAAACGGACCTTAAACAGAAGTGAGGACCCTGTTGGGGTTCATCCTAAAGTTAGGACAGGATTTAGGAGGTTTAGTCTAGTTAGGATGTTTGTGTGATGCAGCAAAAATGCAAATTAAGCTTTTCTTTTTTCTTTTTTTTTCAAGCTGTTAAACTATTTCGCTTAAATTTATGTGCTTTTACCAGACGTGAGTTTGCCTGTGCAGATACGATCAAGATGAAACTGATTAATATCAGAACTGAAAGTTGCGCGCTCTCATTTTATGATCAGATTTGACTGTATGCAACTTTGATAAGGGCCAATGTGATGCACCACAGGCAGTGATGCAGCTGTGCGCCCTAAACCCACTTTAACCACCTCCAGGAGGAAAGAAAAAACGAAATAAGTCAGCAGTAAAGACAAAAAACAGTTTCCCTTCCACCTCAAACTGGGGCTGGGCGATATTGAAAAAAAGTAAAATCTTGATTATTTTCAAATTTATTAACGATTCTCGATTCTGATTTGTAAAAATTGTTTTGGCTTCTTGTGTAATGCGATTAAAAAAAGACACAGTTTCTTTTTTTCACTTTAATTTAAAACTGCAGAAGTGCAGAAATAGTAACAGCACCACCTAGAATTATTAAATTGTGCAAATAGTGGTTACTTTTAAATATCCTTTCAAGGGACTCAAACTGTGCAAGCGCAACAAAATTTGCAACAAAAAAAAATAATTAAAACATAAAAGGACCATTTTAATTAGTGATTTTCTTTTAAGAATAGCAAGCAGCTTCTTTAAAGCTCACAAGCAACTCTCACTTTAAATAATGACCTCCTTACATTAGGAAAGTTCTTTACAGGTTTCCTGAAAGGAGCTCAAGCCTATCTACTGTTTCAGCCTTGAGAGATCCGGACAGGGTAGCAGCGTTCCCAGCCGCACTGAAAACTCACTCATTTTCACCGTGTTGTTTCACTCATTGCTCCTGTTCCACTGGGTGTTTGTGTCGTAAGTGCTGGAACAGATTCGTCGTACTGCTACATTTGGTTGCGACTGTCTTTCGACACAACTTACACTTTACATGAATTTGTTCAGCGTCTGACTTTTCAAATCCGAACCAGTTCCACACCACTGAACTGATGTTTCCACCTTTCCTTGGTACGAGCTCACTCGTCTGAAGAGTTTGTTTGTGTGTTTTTCTACCGTGCGCGGCTGAGGTCAGCACACAGACCTGTGAGGGCGGCGTGTTTTTATTTAAGATGTGTTTTTTATACATCTTGAAAATTTGAATAGTTTTTGTTGGTATTTTAATTAAAGTGTAAGCGATGTAAACTTGTACGATCTCGATCGTCACATTTCTAACATCGTGTGAAAGCGTTAATTCAAATTAACCGAATTAATAGTGAAAATCGTCCAGCACTACCTCAGACGCACAGGTCAGATAGGACAGGCCAGCAGATGCGGGGTAACAGACAGAGTCTTAACCCTGCGTGTACGCTGCCGGTGATACAGTCGCTCAGGGTCACTTCGACTGGTCGCTGGTAGGCGCTTCGATGCGAGAGCAGGCAGACAGCGAGTTCATTTGGATTGTGTGGTCATGTTAACTACACTTCCTAAAGCGTGGGAGCCAGTATCACTGAGCACTTAACCAGATTAGGCCATGTTTATATCTAACATCACACAAGACAAAAATATTTCAATATGGAGATGAAAATTAACACATCAAATGCAAAATATTTCACTTCAGTGCTTTTTCTTCCAATTTATACTACAAATAACTCAGAAATGCTTAATATATTGAACCACTTTGCTCACTTTAAGACTTGAGTGTTTCATTATCCATAAAATCCATAAAAGTCCATTGTCCTGGTCATCATTACAAGATCAGAAGACGTTTGCTGCTTCCACTCCTCATTCTGTGTTGAGATCTCAGTGTGTCACTATATATAGTGCACATATAGAAACTACATTTTTACATAATCAGATTTTTAAGTACAGTCAGTGACTGTATCCTCCTCATTCTGTTACAGCTTTATAAGGAGTCTTGTACCACTTCTGTAGCGTTTATGAGTCACATAGCTAGACTACTTTGTGTAAAACGAAGTAGTTTATTTGTGTTTTATGGTTTATTTGTGTTTTGTGTTGTTTTAATTCATTAAGTCAGCAAAGCCTATACAGCCTGTATGAGAATAGTGTGCTTGTACGAGAATAGTGTGCTTGTGCAGATCATACGTCTGGTTTTCGAATAGAAAATTATTGCCGGAGTGTTGAAAATTAAAATCTAACTACTAAAAAAAATCTAACTGCTGGAAACGATGCCACAACGGGCATCTCTCACACTGCCTCTCATAGACATTACAAGTGGACTCGCGTTCGTACTAGTCTTTATTTTCCCTCCTGGGGCAGTGGCCTAGCAAAACCTCCGAAACCACCTGGGATACCATAGCAATCGCTTAGCAACATCTTAGCAACCACTTGGGATACCATAGCAATCGCTTAGCAGCATCTTAGAAACAACCTGGAATACCATAGCAATCGCTTGGCAACACCTTAGAAACCATCTGGGATACCATAGCAGTCACTAAACAGCTTAGAAACCACCTGGGATACCATAGCAATCACTTAACAACACCTTAGAAACCACCTGGCATAGCATAGCAATCGCTTAGCAACACCTTAGAAACCATCTGGGATACCATAGCAATTGCTTAGCAACATCTTATAAACAACCTGGGATACCATAGCAGTCACTTAACACCTTAGAAACCACCTGGGATGCCATAGCAATCGCTTAGCAACACCTTAGAAACCATCTGGGATACCTTAGCAGTCACTTAACACCTTAGAAACCACCTGGGATGCCATAGCAATCGCTTAGCAACACCTTAGAAACCACCTGGGATACCATAGCAATTGCTCAACAACACCTTAGAAACCACCTGGGATGCCATAGCAATTGCTTAGCAGCACCTTAGCAACCACCTGGGAGAAAATAGCTATATACTAATATTGCTCATTTTTAATTGCTTATGGTTATTAATATTTTCAGCTCGAGGGAGACGAAACAGGCTTTTTGCCTCTGTTCATTTTGAATCTTTTCACATCTTTTCATGTCATGTCTTTATTTTTTGCACCAAATCATGGAGAGTAGTATCAATAAAAGTATCGATAAGTATTGGTATTGATAAAATCCTAAAGACACAGAGAGAGGGAGAGAGAGAGGGAGAGGGAGAGGGAGAGAGAGAGCAAGCGAGCGCTGTTTCAGGACAGATCTATTACAGGATCTAATTACATTCATTCCTTTATTACCTCCCACATCACATCCTGCATTCTCCACTGATATAAGCCCAGTACAGATAATGCCGTCTCTGCACACGAACAAATAAGCTTTGAGATCCAGTTTCCTTTGGGAATGATAGAAAATTATTTCCGCTGTGTCTTGGTGCAGGAATGTGTGGGCGACTCTATGCATACTGATGATAAGCCTTAAATGGAATATAATGCTAATATTTCTCTCTCTTTCTCTTGTGGTGCTTCAGGGAAGCAGAGACAACATGAGCGTTGTGTTGGTGTGTTTCGGCGGAGCACCGAAGGTTTCACCGGAGGCCGTGAAGAGGGAGGCGGAACTGGACAAATATCTGGAGAGCCGTGTGGAGGGTAGGAATGTCCTTAAGGGATCTCTCTCAAAGTCAATGTCTAAATGAATCCTCCAGCAAAGGCTTGAATGATTAATGAATGACATTTTGAACCAACAATCAGGGATTTACCTGTCCAGACCCATCAACCTAATGAGAAACTGTAGAACAGACTCAGTTTATATCACAATACCTACATTTAGAGTCGGTTATTCATTCAGCCTAATGAGAAACTGTAGAACAGACTCAGTTTATATCACGATACCTACATTTAGAGTCGGTTATTCATTCAGCCTAATGAGAAACTGTAGAACTCACTCAGTTTATATCACAATACCTACATTTAGAGTCGGTTGTTCATTCAGCCTAATGGGAAACTGTAGAACTCACTCAGTTTATATCACAATACCTACATTTAGAGTCGGTTGTTCATTCAGCCTAATGGGAAACTGTAGAACTCACTCAGTTTATATCACAATACCTACATTTAGAGTCGGTTGTTCATTCAGCCTAATGAGAAACTGTAGAACAGACTCAGTTTATATCACAATACCTACATTTAGAGTCGGTTGTTCATTCAACCTAATGAGAAACTGTAGAACAGACTCAGTTTATATCACAATACCTACATTTAGAGTCAGTTATTCATTCAGCCTAATGAGAAACTGTAGAACAGACTCAGTTTATATCACAATACCTACATTTAGAGCCATTTACATTTACAGCATTTGGCAGACACTCTTATCCAGAGTGACTTACAGTTTGATCATTTTTACACAGGTGGGCAAAGGTAGTGTTAGGAGTCTTGCCCAAGGACTCTTATTGGTATAGTGTAAGGCGCTTGCCCAGGCGGGGGACTGAACTCTAGTCTAAAGCGTAGAAGGCAGAGGTGTTACCCACTACACTACCATCCAGAACCGGTTGTTCATTTAGCTCAATGAGAAAATGTAGATTTTAGCCTAGATATTTATTGTTTTTTGAAAGATCACGCTGTGAGATGTAATTTTCTTGGTCATTTGATCAGTCTTATGCTAACATGGTGGCCAATTTGTCATTGTTGTTTTCAGCCTGTTTAGTTTCGATTAGCTACAAGCAAGGTGCAAAATATAGGGTCTGCTGAGGGGTCTTGGACACGCTGAATGTCCCAAAATCAAAATTCTGAAAATTATGACATTATACTGTCCGTTATTGGGAAAACTGTCCGCTAGGGAAAAGTTTTGTTAGCGTTCTGTAAAGCTTGACTTTTATCTGAAGTTATCTGGCTAAGAGAGAAATCCTGTTTTATTTGATAGCATGGGTTCAACATAACCAGTTACCAGCCAGTACACATAGTGATTGTCTGGATTCAGTTCATAACACAAATAACCAAATTGGACAAGTGGAGACATCGTCAGAGAGTGGATCACATGAAGGTCTCTCACAAAGCAGGGCAATTCCATCAGTTTTTCAAAATTTCTTCATTCAGTGTTTGAGATGTAAACAGACTCATTCAGAGTGTTTTGTTGTGAAATGGTTGATTGTAGAGACCCAGATTTCTTGACAGTGGTGGTGATAGGAACCAGGGGTCGCCATGACTACAACACAAATATAGACATTTGATTTACTATCCAAAACCACCAGTGAACCTGCACGAGTCTTCTGAGTTTATATGGAATGTTGATGATGGTAAAATAGTGATAAATCTGAAAACAGTAAGTTTTGTTTGGGGACTAATCTGCCTCCCTGCGTGTATCCCTACACCATGGATTTTAAAATACATTTTAGACCAAAACCTTATCAAACTATCATAAAACAGTGTCTCAGTCACCAGGCAGTGAATTCATAACCATTTCATGTAGTAACTTTCTGTGAGGGAGCTTTTAGAGGTGGACGTCTGGTTCCTATCACCACCACTGTGAACGGTTCTGACTCGATAAGTTTCTCGAGAATAGAGCGTTTCATAGAAGAACCCATCTCTGTGTGACTGCATGGAGGTGTTGGTAAAGGGAAGGTATCTGATGTAGGTTGTTCTCTCTCCCTCCCTTTCAGAGATCCTGAAGAAGCATGGTGAAGAGGGAGTGCCCGATCTTGTGCATGTGATGCGAATGTTGGCATCTGAGAGCATCCCAAACTTACCGCCTGGAGGAGAGCTGGCCAGCAAGTGAGTCCTCTTTTTTTAAAAAAAATGTATTTCTCTTTAAAATATAAATTACTTGTTAGTATTGGTTTATGACGGAAACACACACAATATAGCATGGATGTTGTGTTTTGTTTCTGTTGAAGTGATGTGTAAAGTGACAAAAATATACATATTTGGCCTTTTGACTCTTTTACTCTCATTTTCGATCATAATAAGGATTTAAGGTTGCATTCCTAATATTAATAAATCTGTTTCAACTACGAACCATATTTAAAGAGGTGTCAGACACTTTTCCTGATTGATCTCTTCATAACCTATTAAATTAAAGAGTCCATATCCTACATTGATCTTGCTTTATTCTACCCCCCCTTATAACTTAAGTCATAATTCATTTTTGTCTGGCCATTTTATCCCATTTATCCCTTTTAAAATTGTACAGACTGGTTTGGTTAATGTGCCTTTAATACTGATATATGTAAATGAGCTCTGTTCTGATTGGCTGGCCTTTATTCAACATGCAATCTGGGCTAAAACACACTTCATAACTTCAGCATGAATGGCCAGAGTTTAGCTGCTGTAGGGTGAATAGATGGATAAATGTAAATGTGATGTTTTTGTTACGTCACAAAAATGGTGAATTCAAAACAGGCCGTTTGTTCAGCTTATGAACTGGAGTGTGAATAATAAAATCTCCTTAATTTAAAAAAAGTGATGAAATTCAGTGTTTGATCAAACAAACAAAATTTTCATGTGTTTTTAATGAAATGGGCCTTTTAATGTGTTTATAAAGGCCTGGTCATTTTATAGAAAAATCATATTTATTCATGTGCAATTAATGTGACTTTTATTGTTTTGTAGGCGAAGCGTTATTGAAGCAGTATATAACAAACTTAACCCGTACAGGAGTGAGGACACAGTGAGTATTCCAGCTTTGCGCTGAGTTTATATGGTAATGCCTGTTTGCTTGGTGCTTACACGCCTGTCAGTGTATATTAATAAAAATGGAGCTTTGTATAAAACAGCACTGTGCATGCAGATAATACACTACCATTCAAACGGATTGAACCACTGTATTTAACAATATGAAAGTACTGTTATTAATTAGTATTAAATACGTGTTTAAAATCATTCTGTTTTGATGCTACAGCTGAGGATTCAACTTACAGACTTTTAGGAAAGGAGAGACGGTTAGAATGATGAATGGAGCTGCAGATGGTTCTAAAATCATTGAGAAAGCTGTAGAACATCGAGTTACATTCAGTACAGTTAATATCCAGAATGGAGATCTAATAAAATTAACCTCCAGGATGCTCTGTATTTGAAAAGTGGTCAAAAGCTGAGGCAGATGATGAAGGAATTACTATAAATAGACAGTTATGATTCTTGTTATATGCCAAAAACTTTTCAATGCATTTTAATCTACACCGTGTAAGTTATTTGATAAAATAACCCTAATTATACAGAAATAACAATGATTGATTCCAGACTTTTGAACGGTAGTGCATTTTTCAAACATCAAACTTTCAAAGCTTTAATGTGCTTTAATTAGAGGGAATAAATACAGTTCAGTTATCATTGTAGGAACTTTCAGTAGATTCCCTCTCATTTTTCTTTCCTTCATTCTGTTCATCTCTTCATTTTTCAACCTCTTCAGATCCATAAGTGTCTGAACTTGGGGAAGTTTCTAATGTCGTTCTTTCATGACATAATTTTCAGCTTCATAATGCATAACTGCTTTCATCTTTCATCTCAAACGGGAAGTTTTTGGTCCTGTCTTTAGTGTTTCTCTCAGTTGACTTTCTCTCTGTGCTCTCTGAACCAGTTTCTGTCCTTAATTCTGTTTCCGCAGCTTTTGAGTTAAGCAGGTTACAGTTGTTAATGGTGAAGGCTGTGGTGATATATAATATGTGTATATAATGTATATGTGTGTGTATCCAGAATGGAATTCTAAGTGCTTTAAATAGACAGTTATGATTATTATATTCCAAAACTTGCTATATTCTAGAAAAAAAAGTGAACTTCACAGGGGTGTGTAGACTTTCTACAGGCTCTGCAGCTTTTACTGGCCATGTGCAGGTATTATTAGTAACTGTTTAAAAGGATAATGGGCTTGTCTAACACTTCTGGCTGTAAACTAAGGTCAGCTGATCTTAACTGGCTCTTTTTCTGAGCTCCAACTGATCAATGTCTGAAAAAATTATTTATTGTGTATCGTGAACATTTCTAGAAGTATCACATTATTATTATATTTTTGCCATATTGCTCTGCACACTTAAACATGGTGCTTCTTCAAAGGTTCTTTAGTAAAGAAAAGGGATCTTTAGACTGATGGAGAAGGTGTTAAATATGGTTCAATATAGCACCAAAAAGGGTTCTGTTATAGTTACGATGTCAAACTTACATTCAATACAGTGAATATCCAGCATGGAATTCTAATTCTAAGTACGTTAAATAGACAGTTACGATTCTTATTATATTCCAAAACCTTAAGATAAGATAAGATGAGATAAGGTAATCCTTTGTTAGACCCACAACGGGGAAATTCTCAGTGTTACAGCAGCAAAGGGAGAACAAGGCACTCAAGAAAAAGAAAAGAAGTAACAAGAAGAGAATAATAAGCAAGTAATGAACTTTGTTAATTACTTAACAGAGTTTTTACAGTTTGTTTTTATATATATATATAATGTATACTAAAAGTAAAAAAAATAAGATAAAAATATAAACTGTTTCCTTCACATAAAACTAACAATATAAAGAATTATAGATAAATAAAAGCTAAGATATTTACACTGTAAGGATAAACTTGCTGTATTCCAAAAAACGAGTGAACTTCACAGGGCGTGTGTAGACTTTCTACTGGCTCTACAGCTTTTACTGGCCATGTGCAGGTATTATTAGTAACTGTTTAAAAGGATAACGGGCTTGTCTAACACTTCTGGCTGTAAACTAAGGTCTTAACTGGCTGTGCCTGAGTCCTTAAATTAGCACAGCTAAAATGTGGATTGACAGTTTAATGAACAACAGACTGGTCTCAGATGTCCATTAGTTTCTCGAAAAAGAAATGGTGTCGGAACAGCTGTGTTCGGAAGTGTTTAACACGTCTCCTCTTACAGCGGTATTATATGAATCCTGATTGGCATAACTTTGAGCGTTTCAGTAATTTAATTGTTGTGCACTGAACAAAATTCATTGCAGAGCTTGTCACACAGTGTCTGTTGAATCACATAGGAAGTCTTGCAGTGTTGCACATAAGTGCAGTGACTATTAAAATTAAGGATAGGCTTTCAAAGTTCCAAAACATACAAAAACACACATCATAAACGGTTTATTTAGTCTCATTTCTCATTTCTTTTCGTTGCATCCTCTACACAGAACACATTTCTGCACACTTTAATGCACATTTACTTTTTATTTGCTGAATTAACATATTGGTGGGTAAAAAAAAAAATATGTGGCCTGTGAAAAGCAAGAAAAAACCACACACACACACACACACACATATATACATATATATATATATACACACACACACACACACATATATACATATATATATATATATATATATATATATACACACACACACACACACACACAGGTGATTAAAAAAGATTCATCCACTTTTATTTCACTTGTAAATCATTACAGATCAATGCAGTAAACTGTAAACGGTTTAATTGAGTATAAAGTTTATTATGTAATTGTACAAGGTCTCAGTATGAACCTCCTCCAGCTGTACAGACAACATCAACACCATAGTCAAATTCATCCCATACTGGATTGAGCGTGTCGGGTGTCGCTGCACTCACGGCTCTTTCAGTGCGATTTCGGAGATCATCCAGTGTTGTGGAACCAACGCCGAACGCTCTGAGCTGTTGGAGGTTCACTGCCCACGAAAATCACACTGCACAGTTATGACAGATTCACTCATATATACCTCCACGAGGAGACGGCAACCCAAGCAGAAAGTGTTTTGCGTTCTCCACTTAAATAAGAGTGAAACCGTCAATGTGATTTTCGTTGGCAGCGAAGCTGGTTTCTGCTTGGCCTGTGAATCATGTTTATCCCTAAAAATGCTGAGTTTAGGGGTGTGTCTCAAAACCTAGTGAGCTCTCTACGAAGCCGCTGTCTACATAGGCAGCTGTCTAAGTAGGCAGCGTTCCAACCGTCATCCGTCCTTATAAGATAGATAAATGAGACGCTCTAGTTAGACAGCAGTGACATCACCGCTTGTTCCTGCCCACTGCACGAGACCGGCGTTTACTTACCTCAGCCGTCAGAATCACATTTAGCCAACATGGATCTGCTCTGACAGTTTATATAGCGATTTTAACTGTATTTGCTCTGAATGAAAAAGCAAAATAGACAATAGTTGTGGTCAAACACGGAAAGTATAGGCTATTTGTGCACCCGATAACAGATAAATACCCCAGAAAATCAGAATAACTTACATTTGAAGATGACAAGGCTGCTCGGCGAAGCGCTTCTGCCCGCCATCTTCAAACAAAAGTTGCGCCGCGCTGCATCGTGGGATTGCCTCAGCGGCTGAGGAAGCATCCGATGGTCTCTCGATATTGGGCCAAAATGAGAGACCTCAGTAGGCAGCATATTTGAGGTATCTAAGAATTGGGACAGCCATCTTGTCGGGAGCGCATATTGTGACGTAAAATGCTGTCTATGTAGAGCTCACTAGGTTTTGAGACACACCCTAGGTTTTCTTTTATTTATCTATTCTAAGGGTGTTGTCTCTTTAGGTTGGATGGGATTTGTGTTCTGTGTTATGTAGAGACTGAATGTTCTGGAGCTTTTCCATCTACATTTCATCCACCAGTCATTTTTGCTTTCTGTCATTGTGTCACTCATTCCTCCAGCATTTCACCCTCTTGATTAACCACAATTAAACATACATTCTTTTAATTGTGGTGAAATTTGGTAGCGTTTCGTAAGCTTCTCACTTCTCTTGCTTAAAAGAATAGCTTAGATTGTCATTTATGCATTGCTAATTAATATTATTTTCATGACCACAGTTATTCCTTTTACTGGCTGGTGCCAACAGAATATGTGATCCTAGCTGAGGTGGAATTTAGCGGCGTTTCACAAGCTGCTGACTTTCATTGCTGAAAGGAATAGCTTGACCAAACATGCTAGCTAATCTGGCTAAAAGTCAGTCAAAGCTAGTAGCTGCAAATTAGCATTATGATATTTGCATCATGTTAATTAGTGGTTGTTTTCTTGAATTGATAGCTACATTAGCTTCTCTGACTGAACTGTTCCTTTAACTGGCTGATGCAGACAAAATGTACTCTTTTAGCTGGAGAGGAACTGGGTGGCGTCTCAGAAGCTGATCGGTTTATGAGATGTCACCTCAGCTAAAAGACTGCATTTTGTTTGCATCAGCCAGTTAAAGGGTAATGCCACCAATTATGTTATTAAATGTTTGAGATGTAAACAGTCATTTAGAGTGGTTTGGAGTGAAACACTCCGTTCTAGAGAAACTTGGTGGTGATAGGAACCAGACGTCCACCTCTAAAAGCTCCCTCACAGAAAGTTACTACATGAAATGGTTATGAATTCACTGCCTGATGACTGAGACACTGTTTTAAGACAGTTTTTAGGTAAGATTTTGTATTTTTTTTAAATCTATTCATAGTGTAGAGGTACACTGTGAGGCAAAATAGTCCCCAAAGAAAAATTATTACTTCAGATTTTCCACTATTTTCCACCATCAACATTCCATATAAGCTCAGAAGACTCGTGTAGGTTCACTGGTGGTTCTGGATAGTAAATAAAATGTCTATATTTGTGTTGTAGTCATGGCGACCCCTGGTTCCTATCACCACCACTGTAAAGACATCTGAACCATTTCACACCAAACCACTCTGTTCATATCTCACACACTGGATTATGGAGATTGTT